TTTTTTGTATATAACTATATGATTCCAGATAATCTTTATAAAAACATTTTTTTTTTGTTAAATGTATAATAAGTAACAGAGTTATGGATAAAATCGCTTTAAGTGGAACAGTCTGTATGTAGCAACTTTAGTATTTAGGATAATCCCCACAAGGAGTTGTTGGATATCAATTGAAAGCTGACGCCAAAAGAAAACCAATGATGGGGAAAGAATACAAAAACCGATTATATATTTATAAGCCATATTAACTCAAATCTGGCCTCAGAATTATCTCAGCTCATTAAGATTTTTGGATATCCTCAAACATAAATTCATAAAATCAAATTTGTGACCTTTTTGAGAAGATTATCTACAACGTAAAATGAAAGGACAAAACAACCATGACAATAATCTTTCTCTCGTCGCTGAATTAGAAACTGGCCACAACAACTGCTCCATCGTATCAAGATTTTAAAATATTTTAACACTAAAATCCAAATCTTGTTAATTTGGTTTGTTTAGATTTAATGTTAAGTTATATTGAAATTCCGATTCTTTAAGGTAATTTTGGAGCAGATTCGAGTACACAATTAAAAAATGCATCAAAAATAATTACTCTCTTTGCATTGAATGTGTTTTCAAACCGTGATAGAAGTGGGCTACGGAGACCTGATAAATGAATCACAAAAAAAGTAATCTTCTTCGACGTATTCTTCGATAGCTCACTAAAATGGGGCCCCAGAAAAGTTGTGACATCAAGATATCCCAAAAACCATATTTTAGTACAGCGATAAAAAATACGTCAAAGAGAACTACTCTTCTGTTTCAATTTACTTTTACTGAATTTATTCCATTAGAAATGTTTACCTTGTATATACAGCGAATGAAAATGTTCTATCGCTTGAGTTTTGCAATTATTTTTTCCTATTTCAGCATTGAAAATAATGACCATTTGTTTCGAGGGTGAATTAGTTCATGACTGGAATAGAATTTCTCGAACTATGAGAGAGCTAGGTAAACGAAACGAGGCAGCTAAATTCCTGTGGGACTTCCTTGATTTTATCGTCACCTACAGGACACCCTTATTTATTCTTATGCAGCCACTCATTTTTCAAAAGGCAAGTTATTATTAAATGTTCTTCAAACAACTATAACATACTAGGGTCAATTGAAAAGTCCCCGGCCTGACACATAGATGGCGGCACCAGAACTAAATCCATATGATTTTCAGTTAGTCCTAACCTTCAAAAGACGCGTCTATAAATTTGACGGCTGTCGAATCATTAGTTTGTGAATTATAGCATTTTTAGTGAAGCAACTTTTGTTATTGTGAAAAAAATGGATAATAAGGAATTTCGCGTGTTGATAAAATATTGCTTTTTGAAGGGAAAAAATACAGTTGAAGCAAAAACTTGGCTTGATAACGAATTTCCGGACACTGCCCCACCATCAAGGATTGGTATGCTAAGTTATGCTAAGTTTAGACGTGGTGAAATGAGCACCGAAGACGGTGAACGCAGTGGACGCCCAAAAGAGGCTGTTACGGACGAAAACATTAAAAAAATCCACAAAATGATTTTGAATGACCGTAAATTGAAATTGAATGAAATAGCAGACACTCTACAGATATCAACGGAACGTATACATCACATCATTCACGAATATTTGGGTATGAGAAAGCTCTGTGCAAAGTGGGTGCCGCGCGAGCTCACTTTTGACCAAAAACAACGACGAGTTGATGATTCAGAGCAGTGTTTGAAGATGATCACGCGTAATAAACCCGAGTTTTTGCGTCGATATGTGACAATGGATGAAACATGGCTCCATCATTTCACTCCGAAGTCCAATCGACAGTCATCGGAGTGGACTGCACACGATGAACCCGCTCCAAAGCGTGCAAAAACGCAACAGTCGGCTGGCAAGGTTATGGCGTCTGTATTTTGGGATGCGCGTGGAATAATTTTCATTGACTACCTTGAAAAAGGAAGGACCATCAACAGCGACTATTACATAGCGTTATTGGACCGTTTGAAGGACGAAATCGCCGAGAAACGACCGCATTTGCAGAAAAAGAAAGTCCTGCTTCACCAAGACAATGCACCGTCTCACAAGTCAGTGAAAACGATGGCAAAAATTCATGAATTGGGCTTCGAATTGCTTCCGCATCCACCGTATTCTCCAGATCTGGCCCCCAGCGACTACTTCCTGTTCTCAGATCTCAAAAGAATGCTCGTTGGGAAAAAATTTTCGTCGAATGAAGAGGTGATCGCCGAAACTGAGGCCTATTTTGAAGCAAAGGACAAATCGTACTACAAAAATGGTATCGAAAAGTTGGAGGATCGCTATAATCAGTGTATCACCCTTGAAGGGAATTATGTTGAATAAAAAAAACGAATTTTGCAAAAAAATGTGTTTTACTATTTTAGGCCGGGGACTTTTCAATTGACCTGTTACATATTAATTTTAATAGAAAGGTCAGGTAGTGTAATTAACAATACATTTTTAAAAAGGTTTAAACTACTGCGACTAGCAAGAAATACATATTTCAGTAGATGGCAATAAATTGCCTGTCTTTTTTGATAAATATGTTTACGTATACACAATTAATATTAGATATAGTAGGCATTAGGGAAGTCCGTTAGCCCAAAGCTAGAGATTTCTGGAGTGGAAACTTTAGAATAACACATACAGGATCTGTGGAAGGTAATTCGGAAGTAAGAATCCTAATGCGTAGGAATGTAGGGCAGAGTGTAGAAAGTTACTTACAAAAAAGCGATAGGATAGTGATAGTTAAATTAAATACGAAGCCGGTAAAAACCATATCAGTGCAGGTCTACATGCCTACATCATCTCACAATACTGAAGACGTAGAAGCGGTTTATGCAGATATAGGTTTTCCTGCTCTTTCACTCAACACTGAAAGAGCAAGAAAACCTAATAGTTGTAGGAGACTTTAAAGCAATAATAGATGAAGGTAAAGTGTAAAAAAAAGAGAAATAGCATGTTCTTGTGGATTAGGCAACAGAAGTGATAGGGGATAGGATTTTGCGATATACATAACTTAACCGTCCCGAATACTTTATTCAACCCTCACGTTAGAAGGTGCTATACGTGGAAGATGCCAGGTGATTTAGGGAGATATCAGTTAGATTACATATTTGTTAGGCAAAAATTTAAAAATCAAGTGAAGGACTGTAGGAGTTATCCAGAGGCAGATGTAGATAGCGATCATAACTTAGTGGTTACGAAGACCAATGTTAAATTGAAAATTCCGAGAAAGAAGGAAGGTAGGAGACGTCTTGACTTAGAAAAGCTAAAATGTAACGAAACGCGTGACAGACTAGATACAAGGACATACGAAATACTAAAGGAAGCAGAAGAATCGAATGTCAGGGACATAAAGACAGAATGGAACTGCATTAAAACGTGCCTAAAGTCAGCAGCTACAGGTGTTCGGTGTCGATGTGTTCATATTTGTTTATATTTTTTATAGTTATTTTAGTTTGTATTTTTTTTGTATATAACTGTATATCATATCTATTACTTGTAATTCTATATAACTTCAAATTTTGTGTTGCAAACAGCTTTGGGCCTCTTTATTACACCCTTCAGGTAGGTACCAAATGTTGGGAAAGTCCGAGTTCCCAACTACGTCACGCCGGACTTTCTCTGGGTACCTGAAGGGTGCATAGCAACAATAGTAGCGTTGACCAAGGGGTCTGTTTACTTAAAGGCGTGTCCNAAGATAGAGATTCATTATTATTCATTCTATTCAATTACAAGTTAAAACCAAATTCAAATTAAAACAAAACCAAATTCAAACAAAATCAAACTATACAACAATTACAATTCGACTTCAATCAATCAAATTAATATTCAAATCAATTTATATATCAAAATCAAGAAATAAAGTGTAAATAAAGTGCAATTAAGAAAAACAGTCTATTAATTCGAAGAAAATTAACCAAAAGAGCCTTCGGCGGGATACCGCCATATACATCGCCAACAGATTACAACAAACACAACAAACAACAGGTATACTAAAAAAAAACGATAGTAGGAAACCCTGAACAACAAACGAATTTGTAGGATTAATAGAGGAAAGGCGAAAATACAGAAACAGGACAAACGAAGGGACAGAAAAGATATAAGGATATATATCAGGGAGTGTAGGACAGCTAAGACCTCTATAGAAGTCAATAAGAAATAAGCGAGATAGGTTGGTAGGACACCTTCTCAGGCATGAAGGTCTAGTTAGAGTCTAGCGACATATTAGAGGCAGAAACGGGTATTAAGAGGGGTAGAGGTAGATCAAGATTAGATTACTGTTCGCAAATAGCTAAGGATGTGGGTTATTCTAATTTTAGGGAAATGAAAAGATTAGCTCAGGATAGGAAAGAGTGGAGGTACGTATCCAACCGGTCTTAGGACTGACGACCTTATGATGATGATACAGAATGTCCAAGAACAAACTTAACATATCTAATCTAAATAATTATACGAATACAACATTGCATTACGTTGAAAACCACGCTCGTCTCAAAATCTTAAAGTTTAACAATCCAGTGCTATACATATAGGACATCTAATATACGAGGAGTAAAATTTAAACTTCTTTGTAAGGTACTGGATAGTAGGTGCAGGTTTGACTTTTGTACGGGAGATGGGAGAAAGGTTTAGAAAGGGTTAATATTTTGGAATCTTTCACGACCTTCTTGTTTTCACTTTGAATGTCCGTTTTTGTATTTAATGGCGATTGGGCATGGATGCACCATATCACCCCTGAGCAAATATGGAATAAGTACTTAAAGAAAAATACAGCCGTGCAAAAAAGGTTCTTTTGACTGTTGACTAAAAAGGGGTGCTGCTTATTGATTTCTCCCATGAAAGTCTTGCTTATCCCAGTAAAAGGCGGTAATCATTTACAAAATGAGTTACCTACGGAAGACGTATATGCTATAAAAATAAGATAAATAGACGGAGGATAGACGTTGTACAACACTAAACAAAACTTTTTGACAGAGGTGGAAATTGGAAATAGTAATTTTAAAGACGGAACCGCCTGTGGAAGGGGAAAATGGGTGGTAGGAAAAGAGATAATACTGTAGAACACTAAAAACGCAACGAGTGAAAGTGAAAAACCGAAAATTGTGAAAAGAACCCAACGTCAATTAACCATACCTAACCTAATCTAGTAAAGTAAAAAAATTTGGAATGTGTTTTTTCAAACCGCAAGAAGAATAGCGTGGGGTCGAGTCGCCTTCAATAAAAAGAAGTCACTTCTATGATGAAACTTGAAAAAGGTTGTTAAAGGTGTATGTTTGGAGCGCGGCGCTATGCAGGTGCGAAACATAGACGTAGGCGCGGCAGAAAAGAAAAGGTTAGAAGCGTTCGCATTATGAGGATACCATGGATAGAGAAGGTTAGAAATGAAGAGGTACTAGAAAGAGTAGGAGAACAGAGGACTCTATGGAAGTCAATAAGAAATAGGCGAGATAGGTTGGTAGGACACCTTCTCAGGCATGATGGTCTAGCCAGAGGCATATTAGAGACAGAAACGGAAGTTAGGAGTGGTAGAGGTGGACCTAGATTAGATTACTGTTCGCAACTAGTTAAGGATATGGGTTATTCTAGTTTTAGGGAAATGCGAAGATTAGCCCAGGATAGGAAAGAGTGGAGTTGCGTGTCCAACCAGTCTTAGGACTGACGACCTTATGATGATGAAGAGGAATTATGCTTATGAAGGTTACATTTTATTACAGCTAACTCAACCTCCAATATCAGACTTCGAGAGAAACGTTCATAACAGAATTCGAGAAAAAATTCGAGGTATAGGGCTTCCACTACCTAAAGGAAGGGGCGCACTTCTACTAGAACTGGCACGGGAAATGAAGGAGCTAAAGGAAGAATTAGAAGACAGTGAGTAAATTATTATGGTATCTTCGTACATAATATAAAACGCACCTAGGTAATGCATTACATTAAACTATTCTATTATTTATATTCCTGCAATTTTAATAACTTTCGCTTTCAACAAAAACAATTTTGCGTCAATGAAAACCTATCAGCGTTAAAAGTAAAATGTTATTTGGAATATTTTCCTTCTCGTCCTCTAATTTATACGATTACTCAGTGTTTATATAACCATGCCCTCTTTTTCTATCTCCCTCTCTCCGTTTGCACAATAGTCATTAAAAAGAATGGAAGTTTTACAGATAAGTAATGTCCTTAGAGTTTATTAGCGGCGTTTGTACCAACAAGTTTACTCTCAATAAACAACTTAATTTCGCGGTGTCAGATAAAGAGTTTCACTTCAAACTTATAAAGAACTTCAATACAAACTGGTAATAACAATTTAAATAATGTCTTCTTAGATTAATTATCTAACATGTTTCGAAGGGGGTGGTTACCCGAATGTTTCAATCGAAAAAATTATGAAGCAAACACTTAGTTACCTACTTTTTCGCTAAAGCAAATATATTAAGAAGCCTCCGCAATATTAGCATTTTTTCAATTGGTAACAATTATGTTAGTGTTACCAATAAAATTTACAGCGTCTGAGAGCACAACAAGTGCAAAGAAGTCAGAACCAACGCAGCCATCAATACATATGACCAGCGAAGTGCCAGTAACAAGACACCAAAGGCCTTCTTTAATAGAATTCCTCACAGGAAGCGATCTCAGCGGAAGGCACAGTTCCAGGACATCAAGTGACCATCACCTCAATGTTCAACAACCGCAGAAAGGTACGCTTTATGTAAATACTACGTATAAATGAACAATAAATGCGAAATCCTGTTTAGAATTAGTAAACTAAAAATATACCCATATTAAAGTTAAACACACACAGGAACATAGCGGGCAGATGAACGAAATTCAGCACAAAAGTGTGATTACTATAAGCTTAAATGAGATAACCGTACTGAACGACAAGGAGCGCAGCACGTCAACAGAAACATGCTTGGGTTCCAAGCAATGAATTAAAAATGTGCCCTCGGCAATGATCAGTGTGGAATAACTCGGTATCAATTGCAGTCGCAAATAGATACGAACATCATGAACGAAAAACCTACACATGACGCTAACGGAACTAATTCCACTTTGGCTCCTTTGCTTGCGCATGCGTATTATCCATATTATCTATTATGGTCATAGAAACATAACTTAAAATGTACAGAACCTGCAATAATCAGTTCGAGTAAATATTGTCAGGTCATCAAACACGTTTTAGATTACTCATTATTCATTTAACTATTTACTTTTTAACACACATCACTATTTTTAATTAATTATTAATAGATCACCATATCCCACACTTCGTCACTTTGTCGCTTTATCGCTTTTTTTATTTTTTTCATAACTCGAACTAGTACTAATTCTTCCAACAGCACGCCAACTATTTATAGGGACTGGCCTTGTTCTAGAAAAATCAGGAATATGACGTCTAGAAATCTAATATTCTTTGTCACTATGTATGTTGCCTCCACGTGATACTGTATGCTGGCTTGCCTACATGCTTGTGACACTGCCTTCCCTCCTAAAACCAATCGTCCCGATAATTGACGTCACTTCTGTAGGGAGCTAGCCGGTCAAGATAGACGATCTACATCTTTGTCCGAGGCCTCTTCTGAATTCGATAAACGACGTCGTTGATACATCGAATAGCGGTATATAAACCATCCCAAGTTGTTGTAACCGAGCGGCATGGCCTAGAAGTCTAGACCATTGCTTAGCATTCGGGAGGACGCGGGTTCGATTCCGGGTCCGTCTGCCTTGGTCCAAGTTTTTCTGTGGTTTCCTTGGATCACTTAGGCAAATGCTGAGGCAGTAATATTCCACAGATAATCTTTCACTCTCTTCTGTCTTCATTTCGTCCGTCTCGTCTTTCTCACCCGAACCACCACCCACCCATTCCCACGATTCCTGAAAGCAGGCTGAAGAGGGCCTTCCGCCCTACCTTCCGGCATAGTCCGGAGGGACTGCCCGCCCACCAGCATTACTGGCTGGTGGGAATGAAACACCCAAAAGTTTTTTTTTTTTAAGTTGTGGTTTCAGTCAATGTCCCTTCCGCCTTGTTGGATTGTTTAGTGAAACATTGTCGTCTTCGTTAAAACCAGTAGAGTTAGTTCGTCAATCGTATCTAATCTTCATGCGGTCATTTTCGAATTGCAGTTTCATACGCACGCCGTTATGAATGACTTATAATCATTCTCGTAATTTGCCCACGTATTCGTCTGTAGGTATTGGAGAGCCTTTAGGACGAATAAACATCATATCCGTTGGCAATCTGAGTTCTTTCCCAAATAAAATGCTGGCCGGTATTCTTCCAGTTGTCTCTAGATGGCGTATCTACAAGATAAGAAGAATAGTAGTAGGTGTCGTCCCCAGACAGTTTGGCTATCATCGACGAAGCTTCTTAAATTGGTTTCCAGAGTAGCTTTTAAACATTCCAATATTCCATCAGACTGTAACTTCTTGACTAATGTCGGCTCGAAGTTCTTGCCTTCATCAGAATGTAATCGCACTAGTACTCTTATCGGCTAATTCAGTCATTGAAAAGCTTTTCAGCAAAGGTGTGTTTCCTGATTCGGTATCGCGTATGCTTCAGGTCACATACTAAATGATGCCCAAGATATTGTACTAATGCATTGGTCCATGACTTCTTCACTTCCTGCACTCCACATCACTTCTACTTCGCTGCCAATAAAATCGCTTGCTTACGCCGGAACGCCCTTCGTCATGGTTTGCTTCTAAGACTTCTGAACGTCTGTTCTTCGGAAGTATCACTTTTTTCTAGCTCCATTTGGTCTCTCCCACATTCTATTCAACACGCCGTGCTCTAAGGCTACTAGACCCAATCATTTTTTGTTGTCGGCTTAAATAGATTCCAGCTTCTTTCGATCTCATTATTAGGTCAATATCTTCGTTTTTCCTCTGATCCACGATTGATTCTTTATCGTCCCAGGATCCCTCAGGCTGAACGGTGGTTAGATTGCAACAGATCGATGCCAGTTCTCCCTTATTCTCAGCATATAAACAATGTTTGCAGTTTTCTACGAAAGGTCTCCGGTATAGTGTACGAGCATTGTCATATTACTTGCCTGGGCGATACTCGATCTCGAATTAATACTCCCGAAGTCGTTCTAACTATCGTGCCATTTGTCCATCCGGGTTGTTTAATTGCAATAGCCACTTCAGCAGGGCGCGATCTGTTCTTAAAGGGAACTTCCGTCCATGCAGCTTCAGGTACTTGTGAAAATGTTAACCACGGCCAGTAGCTCTCGACGGGCGACACAATAATTTGGTTCTTGTTTCGAGAATGTTTTACTAAAGTGTATGAGGACCGTTTCTTTTCAATTTTGTGCTTGGGATGATGCAACACCAAGTCCCAAGTGAAGGGTTCGTTGAATCATGAGTATCTCAAGATTGAGACTCTAGCGAGTGTAATCTTCAGATTTTCAAATGCTTCTTGGTATTCGGGCGTCCATTGAAATGTGACTTCAAAGTCTATGTAGCGGTCGAGCTGTATCGGTAAATCCTCGTATGAATATTCAGTAGTCGGAATAAAGTTCCAGAGAACTTCTAAGTTCATGTCAATTCTTTGATATGGGCCAACTTCTTACGGCATCCCTTTTGTCGGAATCGGCCATAATTCCTTTCGGTGTTATTACATGACTCAGGTATTTCGTCTCTTTTGTATGACGTATTTTATTATAAGAAATTGCAATATAAATGTGGCGCAGGAATATAGTATAGTACCTACAGGGTATCAGAATAACTCAGCAGTTTTTCAATATACAAAATTTTTTATTTTGAGTAGGTGTAGACTAATGAAAAGGCAAAAACCATAGAGAAATACGTACAACTTGTATTGAAGCTCTAGCTGTATGTACCATGGTTGACCTGTGGACGCTAAACATTTTTATATGTGTTAATTCTTTGGCATGCAATTTACGTAGTTTTTTGGGCACTTTTTTTTTGTTAACAGAACCACTCACGATCAATCACCATTATTATTATTGTTTCGTTTTCATCTTTCTTTCTGCGTACTACTGGATAGTGAAAAACTTCCTTCATTCATTAGTAATGAAACACTTTTTGTAGGGCTAAATGCAATGCATTAATCTTCTGAATTCACTTCACCTACTACACATCACCTCAAATTAATGAGGAAAAATAAAGTTTGTCTGTAGTGGGTTAAATAAATTCAAACAATTAATTCATTAATGGATTCCTTTATCCAGTTGCTGAATAAGATTTTTTCACGATTTTCACTTTTTAATTGATAGATGGTTATATCTAACTATTCGCTTTTAGAAATAAAAATTTTTGGTAGAAATTAAAAATGAGCTGAGTTATTCTCATTTTGAATACTCTGTGTAACGTGTAAGTAATGTTATTTAAGATCGATACTTGTAAAATTCAAACCAGTGATACTACGATAAGGACTGCATCATCACATAATCGAAGACATGCTTTTTTTCTCGATTTTTTAATACAATAAAATAAAAACTCCGATAAATTATATTTGATACATTTGTCATTATTTTTTCAACTCGCCATAGTAAGTACTCGAATCTGGCGTCAGAAGTTTCAAGGTACCCTAATTTCAAAATAAGACAGCGCAAAAAACAATTTGAGATTATTTCATTACTTTTGATTGTTTTATTCCTACTTACATGTACTTAGTTCTCAAAAAACAAAAAATTGCATTTGTTTTTGGTTTTGAGGTTAAAATATCTCAAAATTCTTACGTGCTGAGGCATTTCTAAGGCCAGATTTAGAAACTGTAGTAAAAGTGATTATCCTATTGCTTTCATACTTTTCCAACCCCAATTTTGTTGAACTGTGTGGTCTTTTCAATTTCTAAAATATTAAATGGAAATACGTATTTTTTTTATCGTACAGAGTCGTCTTCAAGTACAAGCTATGGCTCAACACCTAATCAGGGAAATACTAGTTTAAGTGAAGCACAAGAAGCTGTAATTAACGAATGTTCCACAACCCCTTATTACGGTGCAACGGGTAAGATGAGTCGATGAGCTAGCTGTTTTTTTCCAAAAATGAAAATGTTGTTGCTTTAAACGTTTTTTTACACAAAAGTTGCACTGTTGCTTAAATAGTTGTTACCAGAAACAGAGTCTCGGTTTATTCATATGTATGTATATATACAGGGTGTCCAAGATGAACATGTACCGAGAAAGCATACAAAACAGAAAAGTCATTAGTTACGGTTAACAGTTTTTAATTCGATGTATAGGAAATTCTGTTGAAATAGCCATTTAATGAAGTAGTAAATTTTGTATATAAATAAAATGAGAGGTATACTTCGTTTACTTTCTGTAGCGATGTGACCTTCAGTTTGACCGGCGCAAAGTAGAGAAGAACAGCACTATATTTGAAGACATATTAAAGGGTTTCACGCTTGTTTTCGACTCGCACTACTATTCGTGATTGAACAAAACTTTTGGCCGGTACTGTATGAAAAAGTATGTTTAATGAACAAGAGTCGAGAGTATAATGAGCTTCTTTCTTCCTAACTACGATTTTGCCAGCGCGCATCCAAGACATTGGAAGGGGACATCGCTAGAGAAAGTAAATGAAGTATACCATACTTCACCGAGCGGCATGGCCCAGAGGTTTAGACCATTGCTTAGTATTCGGGAGGACACCGTTTCAATTCCGGGTCCATCGGCTTTGGTCCAAGTTTTTCTGTGCTTCCCTTGGATCGTTTAGGCAAATGCTGGGGCAGTAATATGCCATAAATAGTCTTTCATTCTCTTCTGTATTCATTTCGTCTGTGTCATCTTTCTCACCCGAACCACCACCCACCCAATCCCACGATTCCTGAAAAGAGGCTGAAGAGGGCCTTCCGCCCTACCCTCCGGCGTAGGTACTGCCCGCCCACCAGCCGTTAGTGACTGGGAATGAAACACCCAAAAGTTTAAATTTTATGTTTTTAATATACTTCGTTCACATTCAAGATGTACTGAATATACCTAAGCACAATCACGTACTGTGCGCGTGAACATCGAAACCTGAAACATTAAACAGAACAAAAAATTGAAAAACAAAATACGTTTTGCATGTAGGAAATTTTAAATAATGCATGTATATTGTATTTGAGATTCATCAAGTACGTTTACCATACACGTATTTATTTTTTTACAAATAAATAAAGGTATACTTCAATTCAAGAGAGATTGCGTGTGCTTATCAACATAGTCTGTACGGAGCAATCCTATCTATATTGATTTGTTATTGTCTGAAGTTCACACATATTTGTCTAATACGATGTAAGCTATACTTCGTTTAGTTTCTGTAGCGATGTGACCTTTAGTTTGACCGGTGCAAAATAGAAAAGAGCAGCACTAGGCTAGAAAAGGAAGGAGGCAACTCTTGGCCAAACTCTTAACCGGTGAGGAGCGTATGATCCGTACAGTACTGCACGGAAAAATTGACCATTTTATCCACTAAAATTGCATTGCTCAAATGTGTTGTTATTGGTACCAATTACTACTGAAAATATCAAGATGTTTATTTATATTTGAAGACATATTAAAGGCTTTAACGCTTATTTTCGACTCGCACTACTATTCATAATTGAACAAAACTTTTGGCAGGTACTGTATGAAAAAGTATGTTTAATGAGCAAGAGTCGAGAGTATAATGAGCTTTTTTCTCCCTACCTACGATTTTGCCAGCGCGCATCCAAGACATTGTAAGAGGCACATCGCTAGAGAAAGTAAACGAAGTATACTACGTGAACGTAAGTCTTGACGAAGTAGGTATGCTTATGATATACGCTGCAGTTTATTTGCCTCTTTTAATGTGCGACAGTAGGAAAGAGAGTACTTGGTACATTCAATTCAACATCAGTTATATTGTTTTTTAAAGTTAAACACAGTCTAAACAAGGATTAGTATTGTTAATTTGTAGGTCTTTTTAAGGACTATATGTATGTTCCATGCTCAAAAAACGGTTTTGCTCATTTGTTTTGAGCATTAACTAAAATATTTATTAAATTTTGATTCTCATTATATGGAAGATTATTAAGATAGTGAAGAAGATTATAATAAAGTGTTTTACAGTGTGTCTATTTAAATCGGCGGCATATGGGAGGACTTTTTTATTATTAATCTTAGGAAAAAATGTTACTCTATAGCAAAAAACTTTATAAAGAGAAGTTGTTGAAAATAAAAATAAAAAAGTAGTTACAAATATGCAACCATGTCTATCAATTGCTCAAATTATGATTTTGTGTATTTCTTCACTCTTGCCCATATTAGTGCACATCAATTATAATATCTACAGTTCTCATCAAGGTTGTCAGTTTTTCACTGAATGTCAAATATTAGTTTTAATTAAAATCAATGAAAGCAACAATAGCGGCAACTTTGAGTTTAGAAGAAAAAATTGAAATAATTTTAAATATGAAAGATAATGGACATTTAAAATTTCTAAATATAAAGTCGCCGGAATTATTGCTTTTTTTTATTTTAAAACTAATATTTAGCATTTAACAAATGACTGAGAAACATTTCATTTACATAGCAACTTTGATCAGAATTGTATTATTGATAATGTGCATGCATATGTAAGAATTATATTCACTCAAATGGAGCAAGAATGTGAAGAAATACACAAAGTCATAATTTCAACACTTGATAGGTATATGGTTGCATATTCGTTACTACATTTTAATTCTAACCAACTTTTCTTCATAAAGTTCTCTGCTATTTTCAAAAATAAGATACTTTGCTGTTACACAAATTTCATGTTTTATACCTGATCATGTCATTATGTGTTTTAGAACATGCAGAACTTTTTACAAACACTAAAATTTTTAATAAGGTTAATAATAAAGAAGTTTCCAATATACTGCCAACTTAAGTGGACACACTGTATATTTACGGGCTTCTTAATTAGTACATAATGCGAAAAAATCGCTAAGAAAATCAGTTTTTAGCTTTAAAATCATAATTGTGAGAAATTACATCCAATTACATGTAATAACTGAATGCTACAGCTAGAAAATTACGAACTATCATCTTCGGAATTTCCCAATAACATTCACGTTGTTTGATTTAGTCTATTTTGAAAGTAAACTTCACGATAGGTCGCGCAAAAACGCCTGAATAGATTCTTATCAATTTTTTTTAGTTTTACTTCTGAGAAGCTTTATCTCTAATAAAAATTATCAGGATCAGTGTTGAGCAAAATGTAATTATATTAATGAAATGAATAAAAAAGTAATCATATTCGGTGATTAATGATTTTTAGTCTGTAATCGTAATCTTAATTAATTTTTCTGATTACTTTTTCTGATTAATAAGTTTGAAAAATAAAAATAACCTATTTATAGACCATCTTTATCTTTGATCAGACTCATGAATGACAATTTTTGAAATGATTATTGCTTAGAAAAGTGATTGAAATTATAGTGTATTATTAACAGTGTGAGACTTTATAAACAATATCTCTGTATTGAAATACATCCGAACGCCCCTTTTCTCAATTTGATTGATTTTTTTTTGTGGGTATGTTATGTAAAATCTTTGTCAAGTGTGAACCTATTTTAACGATTCCTTTGTCATGGGATAGACTATATCTCAAGGGTGGGTACATTTAAATCTGAAAAAAACTGTTCCATCAGTAAGGGTGCAAAATTGGGGAATTCCGCAATCTCGTCATTTCCGACACTGATTTTTCTCATAATATTATTGGTCAACTGTGGTTCTACTTGATCTTTTTTATTAACCTTTTAGTTTAAATTTGTTTCTATAGCCTTAATTAGTTAAATTTCTCGGATTGATAATTAAAAAGTGTCATTATAATTAGACACATAAACGAGCGATGATCCTTATTTTCAACACAAATAAGAATCTGCCCCAAAAATAAATACCTAAAATATACCTGCTATTTTTTAGCGCCTCAGACAATAAATTGGTAACGATATACGTCAAAACGTGTTTTCCGACTTCACTTATTTTTAGGCGAATTTCACTTCAAAGAATTTAGTTTAATTTTTTGGAATTTTTAGGTTAGAAACCCAAAAGTTGGCCCATGTTTAAAATACATTTTTTTGTTGTATTTTTTTTCCATTCTCTCAAATTCCAGTGTCAAAAATGCTCATTTTTAGGATCCAAAGACTGGTTGAAGACTCAATGATAAAGAAAAAAATCCATTGACATCTAATTTTAAATCAATATCTAAACATAGGTAAAATTTTCAAATTTTATTCCGTATTCGTTATATAACAGTTATATATTATTCTTATGCGTTATGAATGAATTTAAAATTAAATAGTAATTGTATTTTTTCGTTATCATTACGCTTCTATATGATAAAAGGTAGGTATATTTCAATAGTTAACTTTCTAACCTAAAAGTTCTACAGAAAAATACGAAAATTTTTCACGGTTACAACAAAAAAACAGCACAGTCAATTCAAACTACTTCACGACTTTTTTTTTTTTTTTGAGATTAGGGTGCGTTTAACAATAAATATATTTTAATATGATGTTTTCAATGCCTACTAAGATATTTATATACCGTTGCGGCCAGATTTTGACCTCTCCTTATATAACCTTAATTTATCTCCGACATCTTGTAATCAAAAGTAAAAGTAATCGTGATTGATGTAACCATGATTTCTTTCAATGAGATTATTAATCTGATTACAAAAGTAGTAGCCCAACGCTGATCTCAATATTCCTAAAGGTATGTTAAGTTATTAAAGTTTTCATACACGAAGACGATGGCAATGGTCTTAACCTTAACGGTTGCAGCTATGGGTGTTTTATTATTGACAGTGAGAAAAGGGATGTATGCGTGGGATAAAAAGTATTTCTACTTCTTCCTCAACATAAAAAAAGGGAAAGTCGCGCATCATTAAAAAAAAAACAACATTATCTCCAAAAGCCAAAACAAATGATTTAATGTCTTGTTAATATTAATTTAAGAATGTATGGCTAGTCAAACTTGAAAGACTAATCGGCACTCAGTATATATATTGCACCACTAAGTTCACTAATGAGGAAATTATTAACATAACAACTCATTTCTACCACAGACGCAAAAATTATTATCATAATTTGTTTTAAAACAATTACTGAATCTCTACTCAAAAAGCTATTGTTTGGTGGTCGAATAGGTAAGTTAAATGAGGCGATAATTCTGAAATAAGTAACTTCAATACCAAAATTTAAATAAAGTACAAAATAATAATATTACAAAAAAAGAGCAACTTTAGTCGCCTGGTAAGTAATTACATATTTAGCTTTCTTGTGCTTCAAGTTGTCAATATTACCTACAATTGTTTAGAGGTAATGGGTGTAAAGTGTATTCTTCTTTGTCTAAGCAGAATAAACTAAACTGCAACAATGTTTTCATAAGTATTAAGATCCATAACTGAAAAACATATAACTAAAATACTTAATTTAGCTTGCTCTTTTATTTTCTTGTTAATAGTTTATCATGCACGCCAATAATGAACTCATTTGGTAAGTACCTATCAATTTTCAGCAGGAAGAGAAGTTTGATTTTACATATGCTACGTAAACTACTTTGGATTTTATACCGCGTGCCTTTTGAGGGTTAATAATTAAACCCTTGATGAGAAAGATAAAAAGTATCTTGGTCGTTATTTTGTATGCTTTTAGAACATAAAATAGTAAAAGGTGATTTATAGCGTAATGCTAAATCCTCAACAGTCCAGAGAGCTCGAACGGTCACGTATACTTGCTTTCAAATTGCATGCGAATGAAAAGAAAGAATATTTTAGTTATAAAAACTCTTGTGAAGAAATTGGCATTCATTTATCATTGACCCAAGCGTAGGAGAAGTAGCTGCGACCTTGAACTACTTAACTGAAAGCGAAAATTACTCATCCTTGCGTTAATGAAATGTGTATACCATTTTTTTCGTAAGGGCTAGCTAAATATTCCCAATTTTTCATCGGCATGCAATTTGAAAACAGAATTTTTGATTTCCTTTTTTACAAGTTCCTACAACCGTTGGAGTCGTTTAGGCTGTAGCGGATTGCAGCTTTTCAGTTACAGGTTTTTAAACACGATTAAATCACCTTTAACTATCTTAGAGATAGCTTTAAATAAAATGGGAGCGGTATTGACAAAACATGACTGTATGAAAATAAATAAAAGTAAAACTTAAATTCTGGTGTGCAAGGTAATAAAAAGTAGAGAAAGAGCGAATATAAAGATAGATGAAAAATTAGATGAAGTGACTGATTTTAGATATCTAGGAAGTCAGATAAGTCAGGACGGAAGGAGTAGGAGGGATATAAAGCAGAAGATAGTGCAGGGTCGTGTCGCCTTTAATAAAAAGAAGTCACTTCTATGCTTGCGAACGGTTAATTTAGAAATTCGAAAAANCAGTGCTGTATAAAAATAAATAAAAGTAAAACAAAAATACTGGTATGCAAGGGAAGAAAAAGTAGGGAGAGAGCGAATATAAAGATAGGAGACGAAAAATTAGAAGGTGGCCGATTTCAGGTATCTAGGAAGTCAGATAAGTCAAGACGGAAGGAGTAGTAGGGATATAAAGCAGAGGATAGCGCAGGGTCGAGTCACCTACAATAAAAAGAAGTAACTTCTTTGCTCGCGAATGGTTAATTTAGAAATTCGAAAAAAGTTATTAAAAGTTTTTATATTCACTGTGGGCATGGAGGAAAAGAAAAGGTTATATGCGTTTCAAATGTGGTGTTACAAACGAATGATGAGGGTACCGTGGATAGAGAAGATTAGAAAAGGTATTAGAAAGAGTAGGAGAACAGAGGACTCTATAGAAGTCAATAAGAAATGGGCGAGATAGTTTAATAGGACACCTTCTCAGGCACAAAGGTCTAGTCAGAGACATATTAGAGGCAGAAACGGAAGTTAGGAGGGGTAGAGGTAGAACTAGATTAGATTACTGTTCGAAGATAGTTAAGGATATGGGTTGTTCTGGTTTTAGGGAAGTGCGAAGATTAGCTCAGGATAGCAAAGAGTGGTGGTACAGCCAGCCTTAGGACTGACGAACTTATAAAGATGATGACCTATCTTACGTTACAAAAGCATGCAAATGCTTGTTTTATATAGAACACACTTTTTTTTCAAATATAATTTTAATTTTCACTATGATCGGAAAACATGCAAAGATCAAGAATCTTTATCTTTATCTGTCTTATCAAGGAGTAAATTATCAACCCTCAAAAAAACATGCGATATAAAATTGGAGAACCCCACCAGCCAAGAATTCTCATTGGCAGTAGTGATTACCTAATTCAAAAGAAAATATGCAGAACGCAAATAAGGATACACTGGCAGTCCATTACAATAATATATCTGCATGTCGTTATACATAAAAACAAACGAGACTTTACGACAATCTTGTGGTGTTTTTCTCAATTCAAACTATTTCCTTCCCTTCCCAAGTTGTTAAGAGCTTGTATATAACAAAAAGAGAAAACAGATTTCCCATATCACAGCTTCATCTCCCCCTGTTTTACTCTACGTCCATGTTGTTAGTTAGTTGGAATGTTTGTTTCAGATCGTTCTCATCATTCTTCCACTAGCGATGATCATTTTACACATAAATTTGACCCTCAACAGAAGCCACACAAATTGCGTTTTGTTTCTTCTGTAGAACTTAGACATTCCTCAGGTACTTTTTTGCTTGTGAATGTTGGTGTTACCTATTCTATGTATTTACGAACAATAATTTCGCAGTGAACGTGATTGATATGATAAGCGCAAATGTTCCATGAGGATCAACATTTCGCATATATTTCGTCTACTTTATCAGGGCAAATAAAGAAACAATACATCCTACATCTCCCCGATGTAATATACTTTATATATGTTTAGTCATAATGTCTATTATATTTAATGCATTTCATTTTCAATAAGTATAATCAACAAGAACAACATTTACAATTATGTTAGAAACCAATTATTGAAAAAATTAAACTTCTTCACTTTTGAATGCCTAAGAACAAAATATTTTGCCTGAATAATAAATAAAATAAAACAGTTACATCAAAAGTCATTCACATTCATTGCAAATGATTCTATATTTATAACTAAAACTAGGATTACCAACTTGAAAGTAAAACCGTGCCGTTTCAGGGGAGACTTCGACTACACCGCTAAGTCCTGGAAGTCCCGCAGATGAGAGTTCTGGCGAAAACCAAACAAATAAACACCGTCTTCAACGCACCAAAGCACAAAGTCGAAGAACATTTAGATTACGCAGAAGCCGAAAAAATCGCATAGAAGTAAATATAACCTAAATTTTATAAAAGTGAATATGGAAAAAAAGAAGGCCGCAAAAGCATTATCTTACAAAAATCAATGTATATTAATCTTATCTCCTTTAAGTAGTCCATATTTATAATAATATAGTTCAAACATCCCTTATTTTTCTTAGAAGTTCAATTTTTGCCTTCCGTTTCCTACCCTAATTCAATTCAATTTCAATTCGTAGAATCAGAATTCGTAACAGCGAGGACCCTTTGATGAAAAGAAAAAGAAAAGTTCTAATTGAATTTTCCCTGTCGATTTATTATTTAGTCTTTTTAACTATTGGTCAGGTATCAGCGACCTTGGAACAATTTTTGCACTACCTCTGTATATATTATTGAAAAGAACATTCCTTACTTCAATCATTTCTTCTACACACGCACTGTCCCTACAACACCTTCTATTCACAGTACAATTTGTTAAAAATAATTGCACAAAGCGTCACAGACCCAAAAATATATTTATTAATACATAGGTATCCCACACCGACGTCGAACAAGAAAAAGCCCTTCCATCCGCTCCCGTTCACCATGCTCCTCAACAGCAGCCACCTCTGCAAACAGTCGTAGTTCAAAAAGAGACCCACGTATTTTCTGAAACCCCAATCACTACAGTCACAATGCAGCATCAACAACAACAACAAAAACAACAACAGCAACAGCAGTTGCAACAACAACCACAGCAACAACAATCACAGCAGCTGCAACAGCAGCCTTCCACCGTTGATCCGCACCATTTACGTATTTCCACACGCCGTCCGACAGAAGGATCTTGGGATGAAGACAGCGCCATCTCACAAACGTCAAGCATATCGGGTTATCGTGAATCGTATCCAGTTGTACATTTAAAAGAATCACTCGATTCTAGTCCCAAAGCGTTTCCTCCACTCGCATCCCCCGATATTCACGATCTGCCATCAACTAGTAGTGCCGCAACGAATTGTATTCAAGGGGACAACAGCTCTCCTGAATGTTCCCTGAACGATAACGGAGAAAGAACGGCACTTTTAACTCCCACCGAGAGATCGTCATCTCCGCATTCACTAATCATGATGTTCGACCCGCAGGACGAGACGACGTTAATTTAACATTAACTGTACGAATTCAAACACCAGCCAATGATATTTCAACAAAATACCAAATGATGGAAAAGCTAACCCGTTGTCATTTTATTATAAGGACTATATTATTACATGTAAAAATTAAACTAGCAGTGATAAGAAATTCTTCTTATACATTACAGGAAAATCTTCTAGAAAAGATTTTGATAACCACTGAAGAAACATTTAATGACTAAGACTATTTTTGTTTTGATATATACTGGATGATCGTCACTGATAGGTTATTGTGGGACAATGAAGATAACAAGTCGTCATTTGTAAGATAAGTACAGTCAGTCACAATGTTCGTGTAATATATATTTATGAAAATAAAGTTAGGTTAGGTCAACTATTATTTTGAAAGGAGGCAATTGGTGCTGTGATCAGAAGTTTGTCAAATTACCAAATGTCAACGCTAAGCCGCAAACAAGCATTCGTGTCCCACCATTTATTTACGGTTCTTTTTTAAGTGCAGTGAACAGTGTAGATGGAGCAGCATCTGTACGAACCATATAAACGATATAGATCACCTAATTTCATTGTGATTTTATCCATAAAAGGTTTATATGAGGTGGATTGAGAAGTCTTTAAATGAAACAGTAAATATACTCTTTTAAAATCCGCTTTATTTTTCTACATTATTTCCTTTTGATTCAATGCACTTGTTATAACGTTCTTCCAATTTCAATAACAGTTTTTTAACTACTCAAAATAAGCGTTTCCTTCAGCTACTACGTCATCATTTGACCAAAATCTCTTTTCACCAAGTCATTCATTAATGTTTGGGCGTAGAAAATCACAAGAGGCTAGATAATGTTAATATGGCGAATGGGGAAATAATTCGTACCCAATCCATTCAATTTTAGCAATGTTTCCGTGATGAATGTGATGGTGCATTATCCTAATGAAAGAGCATATACTTTCTTCAAATGTGATGTGGTTGTTTTTCCTTCGATCTTTTATCCATAGTGCTCAATAATGATCCACAATACTTACTTGTGATTCTTTAACCCTTCTCAAGATAGTGCACTGTGCATCCCAAAAGACAATGGTTATAACCTTATAAGCTGATACTGCAATCTTTGTTTTTTTGGACAACTTGTACCAGCTTTTGCTCACTATTTTGATCCATAGTAATCAATCCATATTTTATCAACCGTTATGAATCGATGCAAAAATTCAGTTGGATCTCGCTAAAACATATCCAAACATTGCATAAAAAGCTTTTTTATATGCAACTCTTCATCCATGAGGCGTTAACTATGTCAGTAATGTGAGGCGACGATTATTTATAGCAATTTCGTTGACTTTTTTGACCATTTCTGAGGTTGTCATCTCTTTTTGACTTCCTGAACGTTCAGCATCACTTAGGCTTGTGAGGTCACTCTTAAATTTATTTACCTGATTATAAGTAATTAAAATTGAACGTTCACATGTTCATCTGATGTTGTATTCATTTGATCAATGATTTCTTTTGGTTTTAAGTCCTTTAAATGATAGCATTTAATCACTAAACGATATTCATTATTTTCCATGTTTTAAAAAAGTCAAAAGTACACTTTACCATAAACATAGAGAATAGACTACGCAATCTCTATCTAGCTATAAAGTAAAAGCAGGAAAAAACGTATGAGAACAATAGTTGTCTTTCTGAAATTTTGATTGGTGTACGTCACGGTCTTGCAAGAGCTGATGAATGAGGTAAAGATAAAGGAAAGGAGACAGATATTGACACACGGTTGTTTTCACTCATTCTAGAGAGTGCTCAATTTCATGAGGGTGTTGCTAAGTCTATTCTCTATGTCTATGAATATAACATATTTCAAAACAAATGTAATTATTAGATGCATGGATGTCACCATTCTAAACACTTCTCAATCTATCCGTGTGTGTTTTGCTTACAAACTATGTATCCTTTCCCACAATTTAACAAAAAAAAAGCTAAAAATTTTCTGGAGTAACACTCCCACAAATTTTAGCTACTAGCCGCCACTGTTATCAATCGTTGTTAGCAAACGACAAGCATGGAGTCATTATAATCCTTAATTTATTTCTGAGTTCCCACCTTATATTAAACTTCTAGTCCGAATATTTTCAATTTACATACCTCAGTTATACATACATATACATAATATGTGTATATATAAAAATCAAATATTTCAGTATTATAACTGTGTCTGTTTATATTGCATTGCCCTGCAGAAGTAAAGTTGGCCCAGTTAATCAAAATTAATACAATTTTATTGTAATATCAAAATTACTTACGTATCAAATTAAATTTTAACTGTGTAATAAAAAGAGGACAACTACAGGCCTGACGCTGGAAGCTGGCGGAAATTTTAAAATGGTGTGGATGCGCGGTGGCAAAAGTAGGCAGTTTTAGGTATAAAGATTGCAGCCCTCATTCTTCAGTATTCCTATCAGGAGCATAGATTAAATATTTAAAAGTAGGGATCATTGAGCAAGTAATAGACATACAAACAGAAGAACTAATTGTTGATGTTGGTGACAACGATTAAGATTCCCATGATGACAGTGAATGTGAAAACTAACTATAAAACAAAAGCAATAGGTTAATTTTTTCTTTTTGATAAGTCATGTTTCTAGATTATTTTCTAGTACGCTACTGTCCTATCTGTATTAATATTATAATTTACGCCTACTGAAAGCTCATTTGTGTATCGGTTCCAAGTGACTTACCCAAATAGGTCATATGGACAAGTACTTGCGCGCCCGCTCGCCCGCTTCTTTCGTCAGACCTGTATATACAAGTACCAAAGCTAAAGTTATCAGCTTACTAGCAGATTTTCCTTTCAAAAGCAAGTGAATATTATATTCCTTATTTCTTCAGAGACAGTTTTACGCCAAAAAAAAAAAGAAAAAACGAATAATCTTACTTTTGAATTAAGTACCCATTAGAAAAGCTGCATATTCGATTCGAAAATCGAATCAAACCTATTATTATTGGATTTCGAAAAATTCGCCATTTCTTGTCAATTCCTGCAGCCCTAGTCGAATATTACCTTCGAAACAGTAACCTGACGTTTTCAGCCGTTTTGATCGTATGTTTTTTTTTTTTTTTTAAAACAACACTGTTGTAATAAACAGTCAATTTGTAATTAAAAACGCTTTTATTTTAACAGGATATAGAAAAACCCAAAATGGAACATATTTTCAAATAGGTTTTTTTTTAATATGACAAATTTACAGATTCTGAATTTTCAGCAGCTGGGTCAAGTTTTCTGAGATAGGGTTCGTATAATCACATATTTTTGATCTCAACTAATGTGAAATTATTTGTAAAGTATATAAAAATAGCTATAAATAAAATGTAGTTTATTGTTTAGTACTCCCTGTTTCAAATACACAGTTAATAAAAATTTATGTGAAAGAAGGAGCTTCTAGATTATATTCCCGTGTCCCTTGCTTAACTACAAATATTCCGCAATTCTAGGTAGTTGCATTTTCAGTGCATTCTTTACACTAGAGCAGGGGAACGTCCTCTACCATTAGAGGTCACATTTAAAAATAAGGGGATATAAGAGACCGTATGTGCTACTTTTGTTTGTGAACTTGTAATTTTTTGTTTTCATATGGTTTTATTAATTCTAGATGACTAAACATTAGACTACGAAAGATAGCCAGATTTGAAGCACTGCAGCGTTACAGTTCACGTTGTGCTCAGTTGATGGCACCATCTTATTTACCTAATTAATTGTCGCAATCATATCCTCCACGGTTGTACTAGAGTCTAGCCTGACTTCCAAAGTTGATATCGAAATTCGTTAAACCATTAATGCACCATAAATAATTTACAGGTAATAGTCTCATCATCATCATCATATGATGTTCGTGAAGTTGACACAACGAAGTGGCCAAAATAAATTTCGAAACTATCGAAATTAGTTGCTTTTATCAACAGCATTCCACTTACGTTAGTGGAACTATTTCAAAATTGTTTCTAATAAGTCGAACACCATTCAGGGTTGCAAGGGTTTTGGGGAAATGATCGGTATGAGATCCGTGAGATTGGGGGAAGCAGTCGGTATTCGAAGCACTTTAAAAAATCATTTCTTGTGATCTTGTTCAGGTCCTCCTTCGATGCCGTCTTTATCTCCTCAATCGTAGCGTAACGTCGTCCTTTCGTGGGCCTCTTCAGTTTTGGGAACAAGAAAATGTTACAGGGGGTCAGGTCTGAGGAATACGGTGGCTGCGGTATTATTAATGTGTTGTTTTTGGTCAAACATTCGCGCACGAGCAACGATGCGTGAGCAGGGGCGTTATCATGGTGCAAAAGCCAGTTTTCGTTCTTCCACAAATCCAGACGTTTCTGGTGGATTACCTAGCGCGAATTGCGCATAATTTGTAGGTAATATTCTTTATTGGCCGTTCTACCCTGTGGCAAGAACTTATGATGCACCACTCTCCTGCCGTTGACAAGAACTATAAGCAAAACCTTCACATTCGACCTAGCTTGGCATGCTTTTTTCGGTCTTGGCTTGAGCGACAGCTTCGATTGGGATAATTGAGCCTTGGTTTCCACGTCATAACCACAAAGCCATGATTCGTTGAAAGTTATGACCCTCTAAAGCAAATTTATATCGCAGAAATTCAAAATTCGCGATACTGTTTGAATAGTACTCTGTTAAAGTCCGTGCAGATTCTATGAAACGCATAATACACCTTGCGGCAAATAATTACATTAATGACTCATTAATCAGATGACATATCGGTAATAAAGATTCCTACAAGGTTTTGAATGCTCATTTCAACACTCCTCTTCACTCAAAACATGTGAACGAGAAATACATTCAAACTATATGTTACAATTCAGTTCAACAGCAGAAATATATACAAATGAATTTCAAATAAATTAGAATATAATAACATAAGTGATTTAAGTTTGAATTTACATTTACATATTTATAACGGCGATCATGAGCTCTCTATTTTACGATGATACTAATGCTCGTTCTCAGTCTCTCGAAGTTGATCTTGGTTAGAGGGGTTTCCGAAGTCTACAAACTAGGTCGGACTGCTTGGCGACACCAAGGGGCTGCTTCCTTCATGTAGATCTCCTCCTGCAGTTTTCCGTGGTGAAAGGCATTTTTGACGTCAAGTGCCTGGTGGAGGTTCCGGAAATTAATCACGACAAGCAGCATTCTCAGAGTAGACAGTTTGGCTACTGGAGCATAAATCTCGTCATAGTCGAAGCCTTTTCTCTGAGTACAACCTTTTATCACGAGTCTTGCTTTATATTGCGAGTTGACCTTCTCGTCTTGCTTGATCATCAGCTATCGATCGCCTTCCGTCCAGGTGCTAAAGTTGTCAGCGCCCAGGTTCCACTTTCTTCTAGCTACGAGATTCCTGACTCGATGGCCTCGTGCCACTCATCGGCATCTTCTCGTCCAGCTATGTCATGGTAACTCTGTGGTTCATCCTGTACGAAGTTCATGGCAAAGACAACGTAGTCCTCGAGGTATTTCGGTCTGGTCTTCATCCTTGCATTCCTTTTCACCTGTGGCTCTTTCAGCTTCTAAATTTAAATCACCCAAACTAACGTCAGGATCAGCGCCCTTTTCCTTCGAATACTGTGGAACTTGTTTCTCCCTCTTCTTCCCCTTCTCGATTTCTCCTCCTTCTCCAACACTTTCCAGAATGTCACCACCGTCTCTGTAGAAATCCGCTGGATTGTTTCGCGCTAGCAAGGTGGACTCGTCAAAGATGACGTCCCTTCCGGTATAAATCTTCTTGTCCTTGGTCGATAATAGCCTGTAGCCGTTGGTACAGTATCCAACCAGGTAGCACTCCGTGGATCTCAAATCAAACTTTCCGCCAATCAGTGCACTTGGTACCTTAAGGCACGCCTTGCAGCCAAAGACTCGAAGTTTCTTCAAATTTGGTCTTTCTCCAAACCACAATTCTGCTGGAACCCCTCCTGACAAAGTACTGGTGGAGGAACGATTAATCAGGTACGCTTCTGCGAGAGCTGCTTCCGCCCAGTAAATGTTCTAGAGGTTAGATCCCAGTAGCATGCATTTCGCCTTTCCAGGATCGTCCGGTTCATCCGCTCCGCTACGCCATTTTGCTGTGATGTGTGTAGGGTTCTGAATTCGTATTGGATCCCATTTTCCTCTATATCTTCTTTCCAAAATGTGCTGTTGGCTTCAAATTTCTTGAAATAGTTGAACATCTCACTTTTCTTCTTCAAGGTGAACGATACTGTGAAATGGGTGAAGTCATCTATCAACGTTAGTACATAACGTTTTCCTTCGTAGGACAGTGGCGAGACCGGTCCGAATAGGTCGCTGTGCACCAACTCCAGTGGTCACTTCGCGCGCCGTCGCTTCTGACTGTGCGAGAGCTTCGTCAGTACCCTTGACACAGGTTGAGCAAACTTACGTTTCGGAACCAGCCTCATAAGGTCCAACGCTGTCCACCATTCTGTGCCACAACTTCGTAGGGTTGGCTTTTTTACATAGATACGTAGACAATCTCCTCCACAGCTAATCGAGTTTGTACATCTTCACCTCTCTTCGCGCCACAGCAAGCATCTTCCCTCCGCTTCTGATAACTCCTTTTCAACATTCAAACAGTACCGACAGTCTTGGCCTCTTTAGTGCTGAAACAGAGAGCAGATTTTTTTCCAGTCCAGGGACGAAAACTATTTTCTTCATTCGGCATTACAAAATTTTGTCGTTCACACGTGTGCCAACATTCATCTCGCCAACTTTTGTGGCGTACAGATTTGCATTTACTTTAACACTTTTTATCAAAATTGTCTGTCTGAGTAACTTCACCAGGTGCGACGACGCTCCTGAGTCCAGGAACCAGGAGATAGTGTCGTTCTCGCTCGATGGCAGAAAACAAAACGCTGCATCTTCATCGTCCTCCTCCTCTTCCAGTGAATCGTCTGCCGCGAAATTGGCCCTGTTTCCACAGTTTTAGTCCGAGTCATATCTGCCGCCCGTGTTTTTCGGACACTCGTTCCGTGCTTATCAGTCTTTTCCACCTAGCACTTATCACTCGCTTACAGGGCTACAGCGAGCAGCCGCCGCCTCCTCTCAAATAACATCCAGGCGAACTCTTTCAGGGTATCATGGCTCTCTCTTGTTGTCAGGACTTAGCCTACATTCGGCTCTTCCGTGGGGTCTCAAAATACGCCGAGATGTAAAAGGTCTCGGATATCGGCGTAGAGCGGGCACCTACCCTGCAGCCATGCTCGGAACAATCCATCCGCTCGGTGACTCGGCCGTTTACCGACAGGTTCCACCGTTTTGCTACTTTTGTAACATCCTTCTGTCTAGCTCTTTGCGCACTCCTGCTGCCGACAGGCCAGCGATTTCATTATTGCTGACTACGTCGCCAGCCTCCATCGGTATCCCACGTTTCGCCTTGAAAGTGAGCGCCCGCCTCTCTGCCTCCAGCACCCACGGGATCTCTCCCAGGAACACCTGCATCGCATCGGTAGAGACGGTTCGATACACCTTCAAGCACGCCAGAAGTGTCACCCTTTCGCATCGCATCATCAAGTTCCTTCCTACTGAACGTTTGATCCGTACAGGGCAAACGCAGTCAGGAGACCTTCGAACACACAGCAGACGGACCGCTTGCCTAGCTTCCACTCCGTGCGCAGGACTCTTCGTAGGGGGCCTACTATTGTCAGTAGTTTGCCCCTTAATGTTTCGAGGTGTGGCCGAAAGGCCATCCTCTCTCCTACGCACACACCGAGGTATTTCACGGTGCGCACACACTCTACAGTGAAATTGCCTCTTCTCAATAGTGGTGACCGAGTATCGGCCAGCCTTCCCTTAATCAGCCTCACAACTACTCCAAGAGCAGTGCTACCTCGGTGTTCCAACTCCTTCCTGCTGCTGCCCTCGACTAAGACCAGTAGGTCGCCAGCAAAGGCAACAACGCTCGTCCCCTCTGTCACATATTCTCTTAGAAGGACATCCATCTTCAGATTCAAGCATTTCGGACCGATGACGGAGCCTTGGGGACATCCTCTTTTAACCGGCCTACTAACTTGGGTTCGTGGTCCGTAGGCTCTAACCTCTTTGTCGTGGAAGTAGTTTCGCCACAGGGCTAGCCCTTCACACCCCACTCGTTGGAACCTCGCGACAATACGACTCCAATGCAAGTTGTCAAACGCGCTTGAGAAGTCGATAAACAGGCCTAGAACATAACGTTTTTCGGACCTGCTCACCGTCCGCTTCACTTCATGCCAGGCACTTTCGGTGCACTAGCCAGGCTTGAAACCGAACTGCTTTTTACTTTGCTGTTTGCCCAGCTTCGCTCGCAGTCGGAAAGCCATCAGTCTCTCCAGGACCTTCTCCAAGACCGGTAACAGGCACACAGGCCTATACGATCCGGGATTGGTCAGATCTCTATCGGGGGACTTGAGCAGGGTAATTACACTCCCAAGCTTCCACTGTGTAGGGAAGAGTCCGGTCTGCAAAAATCGGTCGTAGAGGCACTGAACGTGCGCAGGGGCCACCTTCCATAGTCGCTTGCCCATTTCAGCTAGTATCTCATCTACTCCTGGAGCTTTACCGGGTTTCAGGATGCCAGCAGGAAGTTGATTCCTCCCTGACAAAATGCTCATCGGACCTCCTCTCGATCCGGTTGGGGACCTTCAGGGAACCACACTCTCAGGAGGAGCACGGTGCTCTCTCTCCAGGGTTGGACGACTTCGTCGCCTACCCTGATCACACCTAGCGCTACGATCTTGTTTTCCCGCGGCAGATCTTGTAGACCTGTCCCCACGGATCGCGGTTACCCGCTACGTTGACAAACTCCCGCCAACTCCTTTCCTTTCCTTGTGTAGGAGCGGATACCCTCTTAGTAGGCCCTTTGCAGGTCCTCCACGTGAGGATATCCTCTTCTTCGTGCTTTCTGGACCCGTTTTCTCCTACGCCTCAGGTCGTTCCTTTGGTTTCGGAGGTCGTTCGTCCACCAGGGAGGTATTGCCCTAGCAGGCCGCCTAACCCTTCTCAGTACCTGGCCATTCGCGTCCACCACCCATCCCTGCAGCCGAGCAAGAGAGGTACTCAGTAGCCAGTCAGGGAACTGACCCTTTGAAGCACCGCCTCCTTCCAGTTAGCCCAACGGGCTTCCCTGATGGACTACGCTGGAAGAACGGACGGCTCTCCGGTGGTATTGTTGGCTGCACTCACAGTGATCTCAATCAGGATGGGATTATGATCGCTAGAGGACCAGGTTGGTTCTTTTCTCCATGCGATATTTTCGCGCAGAACCCTTGCGAGGGAGACGTCAATGTCGTTCTCCGCTACGACCGTCTCGTATGTAGACGATTTCGACCGTACGTTTAGAACAGGCTCCAGGCTCTCCCCTCTCACAACCTTTACACTTCGGCCCGTCATGCCTTTGCTGTGCCACAAGTGTGACTCAGCGTTGGCGTCAAGGCCGATCAGCAGCGCTCGTCGCCTGCTTGTCTCCACGACCCGCTCGACGCTTCGTATGCTGTCCTCAATATCGCCAGCAAATTGACAATATTGATAACAGACATATAACTCCCCGAACGGGCCGCTCAGATCGGCAAACGCCTCACACCTGGTTAGGCCTTGGCTTAGATCGACTACGTCAACCTCGGAGCTGTCAATCACTACAACTACTTTGGGATCTTCTCCAGCCTGTTTTCCCACAATCACCATACCCGAAGGCAATCCTCTAACCCCGCCATCCACGGTATATGGCAAGGCAACACTGATCCCGTTCTCGCGCATAAGCACACCGACTTCGCACATGACCACATAAGAACCCCTACAGTTTTACACTTTTACGATCGTGTCAGCCACCACGCGTATCTACTTGCTTTATCCTGCACTGCCATTTTGAATATGGGGCAGGATCTTGCCTTGGTCAGGTGACCGTCTGGCAAATTCCGTGCCCGGCAGTGACCACTTTCTCCACAGCGGAAGCAAAGCGTGGAGACTGTGCTTCTGCAGGTTGCTGTTTTGTGAATGCATCATTTCCGTCGATGGCAGTGGAAATGTCATCCAACGTGAATTTCACCAGGTCAAGGAGCTCATCCTCGTCGAGAAGAGTCTCCATCCGGAACTTCCAGTTGTCATAGTTTGTTCTGTCGAACAACGGGATTTTATATCTACCTTCCTCCGCCATAACCTCACTTTGCACCGCGTGGCACCCAGTGTTCACAGGACGAAAACAAAGTGAGTCAAAAATCAAAAGTCACTCACTGGGCTCATAACCTGTTAAATTCCGCGCAAGTTCAATCAAACACAAGACAGGAGGTCCCCCTTCAGTTGCAACGATTATTGAAAAAAAAAAACGAATTTGAGCAAGACAGGTTTTTGCGCTGAGTACCATAAGCAGGATAGGAAAATCTAGAAGTTATAACACCTAACGGCAATTAATTACACTAATGACTCATTAATCACATGACTTATCAGTAATAAAGATTCCTACAAGGTTCTGATTGCTAATTTCAACAACCTCATATACCGCGTTCCGTATTGTATTCTCGAAGAAATATAGTAACTTGTCATTTCGATAATATCACTTCCGGTAAAAAAAGGCACCCTGACCTACTCTAAGAAATAATTAACATGACTAATCCTTTTAAAGTTTTTATACTTTGAATTTGTTCATGTTTCGCATTCCAATAACGTCACGTATGAAGAAAGCTACTTCAAAATCGTCAGTGCCGATAGGGCAGGATGTTTGTATCAACTGTATTGTGACAATTATGTTATTTATCATCAATTGTTAAAAGTACATACAATACATAATTGATTTACGGTGATAAGTATTTAATTAACAGATAAAATTTAATTAATATATTTTAATACATTCAAAATTTTTTTTAATTAGGTATAATGATTCTATATCACAAAACTATACTGTATACATCGCATATGCGTCATAAATAAAAAAGAAGATAAATTATTGTAAACAGAATAATTCTCAAAAACCAAAAATTTTAAAGTACAGCAACACATGCCGCTCTTGTAACAAGATAAGAAAAGCAAATAGCATAAAAGCAGAAGATCAATTGAAGAACTCATGATGTAGTTCAAAATGATAGAACTTATTGCTGTTTTATTATTAGCTGGTGTAATACCTAACTATGCCCAGCAGGTAAGGAAAATAAACTTTTACCTATTTTCATTTATTGATATAGCTAAGTGACAGCCAAGTTATCTGTTAATTCCACTATGAGTGTCCGTCATTACTTTAATCGTTTAAGAAAGCGCCTTTTTTTATTTATGTATATATTGTCCAAATTCGAAAACCAACAATTTAACTTAAGCTTAACGTAGCACTTGCCCTATAACATTTTTCAATAATTTTGTACGTATGTATGTGATCTAGATTAGATTACTGTTAATACTGCAAATAGTTAGGGATATGGGTTGCTCTAGCTTTAGGGAAATGAGAAGATTAGCGCATAATAAGAAAGAGTGGAGGTGCGTGTCCAACCAGTCATAGGACTGACGACCTTATGATGATGATGTATGTGTATACAACCAACTATAAGTACATAGACGTCAAACAAAAATGTAATGGTCCTCGCTTGTCATTTGAAAGTATGCACACAAATATACATTTGAATAGGGACATTAGTCACACCCGCTTTTTTGCTTTTGTTTTCTACCACGTCGAATACCTCAAATTGGCAATTTTTAATTAAACATTCTGATTAAAAGAAAACATTCTAGATATCGAAAATAGAATCACTTATTAGTTTAATCTTGTAATAGTCACTTGATTGTCAAATATTAAATTATGGAAGCAGATAGATCTGTACAATTTGACTGCAAGACAAAATATCTTTTCGTTTTCATTTGTTAATATCTTTTGTTGGCTGAAACTTTACAAAACGTGTGCGTATATGCAATCATCTATATGAGACAAACAAAAGCAGTGTGTAAACGCCTATGTAAAGCCGCCTACTCCTTTACAATTGTTTAGTACCAACCAAATATATCAAAATTGGTAATTTTTAATTAAAAATTCTGACTAAAAGAAAATACCTAGGTTGCCGCATCTTTCACTTGGGTGTTTAACGAAAAGATCCATGAAATGCCTCAAAGACGATAGATTTATATGTGCCAGGACGAAAATTTCATTCTACTAGCTTAAGATATTTAAAATACATTAACGAATGATTGAAAAATAAAGATCTACCCCCTTCCATCATTCAATATTCTTAAGCTACCTGACTATTTAACTGACAGATGGACATACACACAGACACATCGTATTCCAACGGGATTTATTACTAATGTTGCCTTTAAAAATCGTTTATTATTAGGTAAATGTCATAATGACAGAAAAGAAGTTAATAGACAGTCAGGCAGCACTGCACGATACACAGAATCGTAACCATGATCGCGCTACACGTGGAATGTGTTCGTGTAGTGTCAGCTCAGATCAGATCGCTTCAAACTCGGAATGCCTATCTATGTAAAATATGAGGATGTAAATAACACTCCATATTAGCCGAGGTGGCCTCAGCAATAAATGGCGTATATACGAAACGAATATTTGTTAAATTATTAACTGGTCAATTCCAAAATAGCAGACATTCTATAAAACTTTAACCTTAAACGAACCTTAAACATTCGATAAATACATCGGATAGGCATCCCGTCCGTAATAAACAGCATTTGCTAACTCAGTAAAACAGAAAATATCTAGTTTTTCAGTAGTAAGAAATTATTTTCCTTGTACACATATACTTTACACTTATTACTTCATTTTCCAGGCTAATTACATAACGACAGGCTTTGGATCACCAGTTTCCTATAAGGATGCATCCCTAACAGTTGGCCGTCGTGGACCATTACTTTTGGAAGACACAGAATTTATCGATGAAATGTCACATTTTGACCGAGAACGCATACCGGAAAGAGTAGTACATGCTAAAGGTGGAGGCGCATTTGGTTATTTTGAAGTCACCAATGATATCTCTAGGTACTGTGCAGCCCAGGTTTTTGCAAGAGTTGGAAATAGAACGAGGATCGCGATACGGTTTTCCACAGTCGCTGGTGAAAGTGGATCGGCTGACACCGTACGAGATCCACGTGGTTTCGCTATCAAATTTTACACACAAGAAGGAAATTGGGACCTTGTAGGAAATAATCTTCCAATATTCTTTATTCGGGACTCTATTCTATTCCCTAGTTTTATCCATTCCCAAAAGAGACAGCCATCAACTTTTCTTCACGACGGCGACATGCAATGGGACTTTTTTACTTCGAGACAAGAAGTAACTCACATGTTACTTTATCTGTTCTCTGACAGGGGAACTCCTGATGGATTCAGATTTATGCACGGTTTTGGAGTAAATACATTTAAACTAATTAACGCCACCGGACATCACGTTTATTGTAAATTTCATTATTTGAGCAATCAGGGCTTGAGAAACTTAACTGCAGCAAGAGCTCAAGAACTTCAAGCCGAAGATCCCGATTATGCTATAAGAGATTTGTATAATGCAATTAGATCCGGTAATTATCCATCATGGACGTTGAATATTCAAGTGATGACCGAGGCGCAAGCACTGAACAGTAGCTTTAATCCATTCGACGACACGAAGGTATGGCCTGAAGATGTATACCCTTTAATTCCAGTTGGTCGATTAGTATTGAACGAGAATCCTACGAATTATTTCCAAGATATCGAGCAAATGGCCCTATCCCCATCACGAATGGTGCCTGGAATCAAACCTTCCCCCGATCGAATGTTACAAGGAAGATTATTTTCTTATCCAGATACTCAGAGACACAGATTGGGTCCCAACTTTCTTCAAATTCCAGTCAACTGTCCTTTCTATGTCCGAAATTATCAACGAGATGGTCCAATGTCTTACAGTAATCAGGGAAATAATACAGTTTATCATCCGAATTCAGTAGATTCGTTAAATGTTAGTCAAAGGGCAGCAGCATTGAGTCCGGCGTATTCCGTTAGTGGTGGCGTCTCCAAGTACGACAACGGAGATGATGATAATTTTGCTCAAGCTAGATATTTTTACGAAAATGTGTTAGATGATGAACAAAGGGATAGATTACTTGAAAATTTGGCAAATGCAATTGCCACTGCATCGGAGGACCTCCAAAGAGGGGCGCTTGAAATGTTCACTAACGTTTCTGGAGACTTGCGGAATCGACTTCAAGCACTACTAGGGCTGTGGTAATACCTACCATATTATCAAAGACTTCTCTAATCCATTTTAAATGTTACTTTTATTTTTTACAAAGCATAAGCATATGTAATTAAATAGTGTACCATACCACCAGAAACAATACATCCTACATCTCCCCGATAAAATATAACATTTTCACCTAGTTGCATGTTTATGTTATTTTCTCTATCTACTGTTAATTCTTTGGTCTTAATGTTTATTATATTTAATGCATTTCATTTTAAATAAGTATAATGAACAAGTTCAACATTTACCATTATTCTAAAAATTAATTATTGAATAAGATTAATTTCTACACTTTGAATGCGTAAGAACAAAATATCTCGCCTAAATAATAAATATAGTTACATCAAATGTCATTCACATTCATAGCGACTGATTCTGCATTTATAACTAAAACTAGGATTACCAACTTGAAAGTAAAACCGTGCACTAGGCCGTTAAGTCCTGGAAGTCCAGTAGATGAGAGTTTCGGCGAAAATCAAACAAATAAACACGGACTTCAACGCATCAATGCACAAAGTCGAAGAACATTTAGATTACGCAGAAGCCGAAAAAATTGAACAGAAATCATCATCATAAGGTCATCAGTCCTAAGACTGGTTGGACACGTACCTCCACCCTTTCCTATCCTGAGTTAAACTTCTCATTTCCCTAAAACTAGAATTGCCCATATCCTTGACTATTTGCGAACAGTAATCTAATCTAGGTCTACCTCTACCCCTCCTAACTCCTGCTTCTGCCTCTAATATGTCTCTGACTAGACCTTCATGCCTGAGAAGGTGTCTTACCAACCTATCTCGCCTATTTTTTATTGACTTCCATAGAGTCCTCTGTTCTCCTATTCTTTCCAATACCTCTTCATTTCTAACCTTCTCTTCCTACGATATCCCCATCATCCGCCTATAACACCACATTTCGAACGCTTCTAACCATTTCTTTTCCGCCGCTCCCACTGTCCGCAAAAACTTTACTTTATTTTACAAAATTCAATGTACATTAAATCTTATCTCCTTTAAGTTGTCCATATTTATAAATAATTTAATACTAACATCCCTTAAGATTTATAGAAGTTCAATTTTTGCCTTCTGTTTCTTACCCCCTGGATAGGTAATAGTAATTTTATGAAATCTTAAAACCAGCATTGTGGTATTGCCAATGTGCGTTACCTTTTTCATGAGTAGTTTGCCAATAGTCATATTCTTCCATTAAAAACAAGGTAATTACGACAATACGCACGCAGATACACACTACACAAATTGTTCGTGCAAAAATATCCGGTATTTGGCGTACTACATTATTAGCGTTCTGCTTTAGCGTTTATTGTATACGCTGCTTCATAGAACTCCATACAAAGAAGTGAAATAAATTTACATCAAGACTACGCCCCGGCCATGCTACAGGACCCATACATCCTATCTAGCGTCTAGGAAAATGTTCGTCCACAAACTCACGCATTGGTCAATACAATAATACTATTCTGTACTAACCCATGACACTGACACATTGACCTACTTTTTTGTTTGGTTTTGTGCATTAAGTAGATAAGTAGATATTATTGTGTATCTATTTTTACTTGTTTGTTTCTGTTTACTCGGCTGTCTCAAGTTTTTATCGGAATTTTCAAATTTTGTTTCTAAAAAATATCTCAAATCAGAATTTAATACAAAAGAATGCCTCAGGCAAAAAAAAACACTAAATGACTGCACCGATAAACTCAGTCGATGGTTCCTGGATTTACGTGATTAACCAGAAAACTAATATGATAATATAAAGAAAGGAGATTTATTACAACATAAATATAGATCTGAAACAGTTCTCTTTTTATATTGTTGTCACGTGATCATTATCACGCCCACTTACTAAGAGGAAATGTATTTATTAAACACCAGATAGCCTACATTTGTTAGTGAAGCAATGTACAGGGGTTAGTTCATTTTGTAAGATAATAAAACTGACCATAAGGAAAATTACATAAAAACAAGTGATAACAAAAATAATGAAATATTTTTAGATGTTATCTTAGTACTACATGGCGTACTACAGCTCTCTAAAAAAATTAGTTTATCAGACGTTGATACAGAGATACTAAAGAAAAAAAAAAGCATTTACTTTAGAATTAAAAATAACAAAAGAAGAACATGGTTTTTGAATACGATATATAAACCAGGCGAAACCAAGCATCGATCAGCCGTTTCGAATCAACGGAAAAATTCTTGTGCGAGGATCGCAAAATCATTTACAAGGATCAACTGAGGCTAATAAACATAAGTGACCTAACAGACCTAAATAACAGTCGAAAAAGAAAGGTTACACATTCCATCTCCGTTTTCGCGCAAAAGCAACAATGGGTGGGGAGGAGCGTTTTTATGGTGCAAAAGCCAGTTTTTGTTCTTCCACAAATCCGAGTGTTTCTGGGGGATTAGTTCGCGCAAATTGCGCATAACTTGCAGGTAATATTCCCTATTGACCGTTTTACCCTGTGACAAGAACTTATGATGCATCACGCCCCAGCCATCGAAGAAAACTATAAGCAAAGATTCACATTCAACCTAACTTGGCATGGTTTTTTCAGTCTTGGCTCCTGCGACAGCTTCCATTAGGATGACTGAGCGTTGGTTTCCACGTAATAATCATAAACCCATAATTCGTCAATAGTTATAACCCTCTGGAGTAAATTTGGGTCGTTGCGGACAGAGTCCAACAGCTCTTTAGCAAAGTCAATTTGATCTTGTTTTTAGTAGAAATTGAGCAATTTTGGTAAGAATTCCACGACGACTAGTTTCATGCCCAAATCATTGGTAAATTGTTAAAACTCGAATGGCAGGAGTCAATCGATATGTTTAGGTCCTCAGCAATTTCTCTAACGGTGATTTGACGATTGGCCAACATTATTTTATTCAGTTCATCGATGTTTTCGTTGGTTGTTGACGTGCTTGGGCGTCCAGCACGCTCTTCGTCGTTCACATCTTCTCGGCCCTCTGAGAACATGTCGTACCACCGATAAACATTGGCTCGGTCCAAGGCAGCTTTACCATATGCCACAGTCATTTTTTGGAATAGGCAAAAATCGAAGACGAGCCAAAACACGTGCAGGCAAAGCAGCTGAAAATTCAGAATAGCCGAACTTGTCGGCATAAGTGAGAGACATGAGTACCAACATAACGCCACAAAAAAATCGAAAATCGAATATACGTAACCCGCAGAAACTCAAAATTCGCAATACTTTTTTAACAGACCACGTATTCTGCGAATACTCTCGAACAAAAACAGTTACCTGTTATTTCCATAATATCACTTTTGCAAGATAAAGGCACCCTAGCATATTCTAAAAAATAATTAGCATAACTAACCCTTTCAAAGTTTCATACTTTGAATTTGTCCATGTTTTGCATTTCAATAACACGTATTAAGATCGATACTTCCAAATCGTCAATGCTGACAGGACAGGATGTTTGTATCAACTTTATTGTGACAATTATGTGATTTATCATCTATTGTTAAGAGTATGTACAACACATAATTGATTTACGGTGATAAGTATTTACTTAACAGATAAAATTTAGTTTACATATTTTAAAACATTCAAAATTTTTTTTAATTAGGTTTAATGATTCTATATCTCAAAACTACATCGCACATACGTCATAAATAATAAAAAAAAAGATAAATAATTGTAAACAGAATAATTCTCAAAAAGCAAAAGTTTTAAAGTGCAGCAGCACAAGCCACTCGTGTAACAAGATAAGAAAAGCAAATAGTATAAAAGCAGAAGGGCTGTTGAAGAATTCATGATCAAGTTCAAAATGCTAGAACTTACTGCTGTTTTATTGTTGGCTGGTGTAATACCTAACTATGCCCAGCAGGTAAGGAAAATCAACTTTTCTCTTTTTTCATTTATTGAAATAGTGACTGCCGAATTAACTGTTAATTCCACTATAAGCGTCCACCATTACTTTAATCGTTTAAGAAAGCGCGATGGATTTATTTTTCATTTATGTAAATTTAGTCCAAATTCGGAAACCAACTTAGCATAATTTAACTTAAGCTTAACGTAGCACTTAACCTATAACATTTTTCAATAATTTTGTACTTTACGTATGCCTTAATGAATACAGTATGTATGTGTATACAACTACCTATAAGTACATATGTAATGGACCTCGCTTGTCATTTGAAAGTATGCAAACAAATATACATTTGAATAGGGACATTAGTCTCGCCCACATTTTTGCTTTTGTTTTCTACCACGTCGAATACCGCAATTTTTAATTAAACATTCTAATTAAAAGAGAACATTCTAGATATCGAAAATAGAATCACTTATTAGTTTCATCTTGTAATAGTAACCTGATTGCGAAATATTAAATGATTGGAGCAGATGGATCCATACAATTTGATTGCAAGACAAAATATTTTTTTCGTTTTCATTTGTTAATATCTTTTGTTGGCTGAAACTTTACAAAACGTATCAATCAGCTGTATGAGACAAACAAAAGAAGTGTGTAAACGTCTATGTAAAGCCGCCTACTTCTTTGCAATTGTTTAGTACCACCAAAATATATTAAAATTGGCTATTTTTAATTTAAAATTCTGACTAAAAGAAAACACCCAGGTTCTCGCAACTTTCAATTGGATGTTTAACAGCAGGTTGGACGTGCACGGTTTAAAATTGCACTATACTATTCGTTTGCAGAGAAACGGAAAAGATCAATAAAATGCCATAAATGCGATCGATTTATACGTATGTCCCCGGACCAGAGCTTTGCGAAAAATTTCATTCTACGTTATTAAGGGGTTTAAAAGATATTAACGAATAATTGAAAAATAAAGACTTATCTCCTTCCATCATTTAATATTCTTAATCTACCTGACTGTTTAACTGAGAGATGGACATATAAACAGACACAACGTATTCCAACGGGATTTACTACTAATGTCATAATCACAGAAAAAAAGTTAACAGATAATCAGGGAGCACAAGGAACTGCATGATGACACAAAATCGTCACTATATGAAATTTTCCCGCAACATACTAGCAACTATTCCTATTCAGCTACCACAACCTTACTGTTAACATAAGGAATCTAACTAAATGCATTTTTTTAGAAATCATCCATATTATTCAGAAGCTATGTAGGTAGAGAGACTTCCGCGCACTGCATCGCAATATGTGAATGATCGCGCTACACGTGGAATGTGTTCGCGTGGTGTCAGCTCTGATCAAGTCGTTTCAAACTCCGAATGACTATCTATGTAAAAAATGAGGATGTAAATACCACTCCATATAAGCCGACGTGGCCTAAGCAATAAATGGCGTATATACGAAACGAAACAATATTTGTCAAATTATTAACTAGTCAATTCCAAAATAGCAAACATTCTATAAATTTTTGACCTTTAGGCCGCAACATCCTATAAACGACGAACCCTAAACAATCGATAAATGTTTGTTTTTTTTTTTGGTTCCAACAAATTATAATGTTTTGAAAAGCAACGGAACCGCTTAGGCAAAGCGTACTGAATAAATGGCATTTGCTAACTCAATAACAACAGAAAATATCTAGATTTTTACTAATAAGAAATTATTTTCCCTGTACACATATACATTACACTTATTTCTTCATTTTTTAGGCTAATTACATAACAACAGGCTTTGGATCACCAGTTTCCTATAAGGATGCATCCTTAACAGTTGGCCGTCGTGGACCAATGCTTTTGGAAGACACAGAATTTATCGATGAAATGGCACACTTTGACCGAGAACGAATACCGGAAAGAGTAGTACATGCTAAAGGTGGAGGCGCATTTGGTTATTTTGAAGTCACCAACGATATCTCTCGGTACTGTGCAGCCCAGGTTTTTGCAAGAGTTGGGAATAGAACGAGAATCGCGATCCGGTTTTCCACAGTTGCTGGTGAAAGAGGATCGGCCGACACCGTACGAGATCCACGTGGTTTCGCTATCAAATTTTACACACAAGAAGGAAATTGGGACCTTGTAGGAAATAATCTTCCAATATTCTTTATTCGGGACTCCATTCTATTCCCCAGTTTTATTCATTCCCAGAAGAGGCATCCATCAACTTTTCTTCACGATCCTAACATGCAATGGGATTTTTTTACTTCGAGACCTGAAACAACTCACATGTTACTTTATCTGTTCTCTGAGAGGGGAACTCCTGATGGATTCAGATTTATGCACGGCTTTGGAGTTAATACATTCAAACTGATTAACGCCACCGGACATCACGTTTATTGTAAATTTCATTATTTGAGCAATCAGGGTTTAAGAAACTTAACTGCAACAAGAGCTCAAGAACTACAAGCCGAAGATCCCGAATATGCTTTAAGAGATTTGTATAATGCAATTAGTTCCGGTAATTATCCATCATGGACGCTGAATATTCAAGTGATGACCGAGGCGCAAGCACAGAATAGTAGCTTTAATCCATTCGACGACACGAAAGTATGGCCCGAAGATGTATACCCTTTAATTCCAGTCGGCCGATTAGTTTTGAACGAGAATCCTACGAATTATTTCCAAGATATCGAGCAAATGGCCCTATCCCCATCACGAATGGTGCCTGGAATCAAACCTTCTCCTGATCGAATGTTACAAGGAAGATTATTTTCTTATCCAGATACTCAGAGACACAGATTAGGTCCTAACTTTCTTCAAATTCCAGTCAACTGTCCCCTCTATGTCCGAAATTATCAACGAGATGGTCCAATGTCTTACAGTAATCAGGGAAATAATACAGTTTATCACCCGAATTCAGTAGATTCGTTAAATGTCAGTCAAAGGGCAGCAGCATTAAGTCCAGCGTATTCCGTTAGCGGTGATGTCTCCAAGTACGACAATGGAGGCGAAGATAACTTTGCTCAAGCTAGATATTTTTACGAAAATGTGTTAGATAGTGAACAAAGGGATAGATTACTTGAAAATTTGGCAAATGCGCTGGCCACTGCATCGGATGAACTCCAAAATCGGGCAGTTGACATGTTCACTAACGTTTCTGAAGACATGCGGTATCAACTTCAAGCACTACTAGGGATATGGTAGCGCCTATCATATGGTCACAGACTTCTCTAATTCGTTTTAATTGTTACTTTTACTTTTTATAAAACATAACACTATTAACACATATACCAATTGTAAAAGGGTCTAGTAGTGTAAATACAAAATCATTTTTAAATCGTTGGATTTTTATGTACCATATAATTAATTTTGAGATTTTTTTTGAGATGATTTTTGAATCCCTTACCGTCATATCCTAAAACTGGTTGGATACGCACCTCCACTCTTTCCTATCCTGAGCTAATCTTAGCATTTCTCTAAAACTAAAATAATCCACAACCTTAACTATTTGCGAACAGTAATCTAATCTAGGTGTACCTCTACCCTCCTAACTAACCTTGTACTATCTTTACTGATGTTTATCGCGTCTTCGATGTATAAATAAAAAAGTAGCGGTAACAGTGTGCATCCCTGTTTGACTTCCTTCCTAATATTTACTTCATTACGTTGCAAACTAAGTATCACTTTTCTATCTTTGTAACTCATTCCTACATTTTTTTTGAATCCCTATAAAATCAAAATTGCCTCAAAAATGATAACACCCTAGTATTTAGTAATTATGTAAAGATATGTGAAAATGTATGTGTAGATTTTCGGAACATTTGCGGGGTATCTCTCTGCGAGGTATCCTCCTAACTTTGCGGTTGTAGTAGAATGCTAATTTTTTGTAAAATTAGTGATGGCGCTAGCGGAATTTTTATATCCCATTTAGTTTTGGAGATACAGGGTGGAATGGAGAAATAGAACCTATGAGGCACCGCACGCATCTCAATTAACTTTAAACTTATCGAAGAAGTTCTTCATATAAATTTTGTTCCGTAAAATCCAGTGGCGTAGTCTGGTTTTTTTCAGCACTTCCCCTTTGTTACTTATTACGCAAGACTATGTCTTTTAAACGGAACAACCTCTATATTATTTTCATTTTTATTAATCATAATGTGGACTTTCCTAAAATATATAACTACATACAATTATTTCCAAAAGCGATCGCAGAATTTAAGATTTTCTTAAATTTTCTTGGATGTCTAGTTAGTTATTAGCAGGCTATGTCTAAAATTTTTGTTATTTTTTTAATAGTTTTCAAAAGCATCATAGACCTTTGCAAATTTCGTATTTTATAAAATACAGGAAAGTGACTCAAATGTCATACTTTTTTATCCCATTTTGTTTCTTCAAAATCCAAAAGAGCATGAAAAATCTGCTAGCGCCATCTTCAATTTCATAAGAAGGTATTGGAGCTAAAGAATAAACTTCCTTCCGATCCTAATGACGTGACCACATTCACCCTTGGCTTTTGGTGAACGACCGTTAACTTCACAACCTTACACCAATGTGCTCAACACAAACCTAAAAAGCAGATGTCGACAATTTTGAGAGGAGTTTCCTGGTCAGTGCTAGTGGGGTAATCTACCTCTCCTTTAATGGAAATCTAGCGATGGTTGAACTTTTCCTATGGGAAGATGCGATTCCAAGGGCTTTGCCTTAATAAAATTATGAAACATAATTGTGAAACGTGCTATAAGAAAACTATATTCATTGCCAATCTAAGCTTAAATTGAGATTACAGTTGTTACTACAGTGTTTGTGAGGTGTACGTGACTTCTCTCATAAACTCTCGTATAGCTTCATCTTCGAAGGTATTAATTTAGTAGCATTGATCCTTATTGTCAAATACCAATCAAAATGTAGAATTTGACTCACTTTTCGATTCCGGACTCAAAAGTGGACTCTTTGGTTTAAAACAATCGATTGAACCTTTTAATGAGGTTGAAGATCAAAATCAAGGTGAAATTGTCACCATCAAATTTTCCTCTCCAAACTCAAAACGTTTATACAAGTTATTTTTTGGGTGGACGCTGCTATGAAGAGATATTCAGGTTGATTATTTAAAATGGGCCCGTTTGTATATGCTGTTTACCTTATTATTTTCTTTTGTTTTAATTGTACAGACATACGGCCACTTCGATGAATTTTATTCCCTCAACCGTAGTCGCCAGTTTAAAAAATTAGATAATATCTGCGAACACATTTTTGATGCAATGCATATTTTATTTTTCAAGGTATGACAAATTAATGGATACTAAAAAAAGTCTTATATAATTAATTATAATTATTTTACAAATTATGTATGATTTAACTATTGTTGCATATACATATTTTTTATAAAAAACATAAATAACATTCAAAACGAATAGGGGAACTCTGAAACCGTTCAGTTCTTTTTTAATGTAATGTAAAAATTACGTAAACGCAGATTACTATTGTAACCCTAGTTTTCTTTGAAGTCGGGCCTTCAAATCTGGAGAAACGTTGCCGAACATGTCAAGTGCTCGTCGTTGGTACATCTCCGATGCAGAGGAAAGTGCACTCCCCAAATTTTTAACTAAATTTACCCTACCTCCTTCATCTAACACATTCTGGTAATGGTTTGCGGCTTGAGAAAAATTATCTTCGCCTCCATTGTCGTACTTGGAGACGTCACCATTAACGAAATACGCTGGACTTAATACTCCTGCCCTTTCACTGACATTCAACGAATCTGCTGCTGAATTCGGATGATAGACCGTACTATCTCCCTGATTATTGTAAGACATTGGACCATCTCGTTGATAATTTCGGACGTGTAGCGGACAGTTGACTGGAATTTGAAGAAAGTTGGGTCCTAATCTGTATCTCTGAGTATCTGGGTAAGAAAACAGTCTACCCTGTAGCATTCTGTCAGGCGAAGGTTTGATCCCAGGTACCATTCGTGATGGGGATAGGGCTATTTGTTCAATATCTTGGAAATAATTCGTAGGATTCTCGTTCAAAACTAATCGGCCAACTGGAATTAAAGGGTATACATCTTCGGGCCACAACTTCGTGTCGTCGAATGGATTAAAGCTACTATTTAGTGCTTGCGCCTCGGTCATCACTTGAATGTACAGCGTCCATGATGGATATTTTTTAGATTTAATTGCATTATACAAATCCCTCAGAGAATAATCAGGGTCGTCGACTTGAAGTTGTCGAGCTACTTTTGCAGTTAAGTTTCTCAAACCCTGATTGCTCAAATAATGAAATTTACAATAAACGTGATGTCCGGTGGCGTTAATCAGTTTGAATGTATTAACTCCAAAACCGTGCATAAATCTGAATCCATCAGGAGTTCCCCTGTCAGAGAACAGATACAGTAGCATGTGAGTTACTTCAGGTCTCGAAGTAAAAAAGTCCCATTGCATGTCAGCATCGTGAAGAAAAGTTGATGGATGTCTCTTCTGGGAATGAATAAAACTGGGAAATAGAATAGAGTCCCGAATAAAGAATACTGGAAGATTATTTCCTACAAGGTCCCAATTTCCTTCTTGTGTGTAAAATTTAATGGCAAAACCACGTGGATCTCGTGCGGTGTCGGGCGACCCACTTTCACCAGCAACTGTGGAAAAGCGAACCGCAATTCTCGTTCTATCTCCAACTCTTGAAAACAGGGAGGCTGCACAGTACCGAGTGATATCGTTGGTGACTTCAAAATAACCAAATGCGCCCCCTCCTTTAGCATGCACTACCCTTTCTGGTATTCGTTCTCGGTCAAAATGTGCCATTTCATCGATAAATTCTGTGTCTTCCAAAAGCATTGGTCCACCACGGCCAACTGTTAAGGATGCATCCTTATATGAAACTGGTGCTCCAAAGCCTGTCGTTATGTCACTAGCCTGGAAAATTGAAAAAAGAAATTCGTTACGCCAATTTTCGATATCCATCAAGGTTTTTCCTCTTAATCAGATTGTTTAAATGTCCACATGCGGCTGTGTAGTTTATTGAGTGTATTGTAATGATATGTTATTACCATTTACTTTTGAACCAAAACAGGCTGTGTATACGCAGCTTACATAAGTGATATACATGTAAACCACTAATTAAAAAATTAATCGAAACTACCAAAAGCTCCTAAAGAGGGAGTTGTTGTAAAATCGAAATGAAGGCACTGTGTCACCCTCTTGTGGGTATTTGGCGGTACTGAAGTATACAATAAAAAATTTGGTTGAGATGATAAATTGAATAACAAAAATTTGTCCAGTAAACGATTTTGTTGTGCCAATGGACAATGAATGAATAATGAATTTGTTAACCGAGAGCATTAATTACAATGAATTTTGGTAAATGTAGTACGTAGGTATATAAAGGGAGGTACAAAATAATTAAACAGAATGGAAAATATATATAAGTTTAATATTTAAAATGTTACAAGAGATAATAATAATACAAGAGATAAATTAAAACTAAGACATTACCTATGTGTATAAAAGCAACAAAAATATATATCTATTATTCTTACAAAAATAAATTTTTAAATACACCTACCTTAGGAAACTTGTGAGTGGTGACTAAAATCCAAATCGATTTGTATTTATTGTTGTAATATTTTCTTCTGTTTCATTCGGGAAGTAAATGTAGAAAATCCTTAAGTATGTTCCACTGGGATCGAAAGGCTAATCTCATTTTTTTAATATTCAAACATTAATGGGAAATTAATGCAATTTCCACCCACTACAAATTATCCGAAATTAATGAAGAAAACTGATTCCTGCTATCACACCCTCGCCAGGAATCGAACCCAAAACCTTTGACTTTACGAACCACTGCCCTGATGATTGAGAGGTGACAGTATCAACAACAAACCACGAGCAGTTAGTTTACCCATATAACGTCCAAAATACAGTTACGGTTTTTCCATCTGTAATTATAATTACCATATTAGCACACATAGTACTATTTAACTTTTCTATCAAAATTTTAAAATTTATTTTAAATTCATACTACTGGAAATATTTCCGTCCTTTTGAATTGTTTCCACCAGACCTTTAATTTGTTTATCCTTTATATAGTTTTCGTTTGCAAGGAACTTAATTAATTTGTCCTGGTAGATGTCCCAATTGAAAAGAAGTATACTTCATTTACTTTCTCTAGCTAAATGCCCCTTTCAATGTCTTGGATGCGTGCTGGCAAAACCGTATGTAGGGAGAAAAAAGCTCATTATACTCTCGACTCTTGTTCATTAAACATAGTTTTTCATCTCGTTGATATTTTCAGTAGTAAATAGTACCAATAAGAGCACATTTGAACAATGCAATTGTAGTGGATAAATGGTCAATTTTCCTTTCAATACTGTACGGATTATACGCTGCTCACCGGTTAAGAATTTGGCCGAGAGTTGTCTCCTTCCTTTTCTGGCCTAGTGCTGTTCTTTTCTACTTTGCGCCGGTCAAACTGAAGGTCACATCGCTACAGAAAGGAAACGAAGTATAGTTTCTCTATCATAAAATGAAACATTTAAATCCACACCAATCTGGAAATAGAAATTAATGTTAAAATATTTGCGTAAAATAAAACCTAATGTCAATTGTATTTGTAAGAATTGTGAAAATTAATATTACATTTGTATAAAACATAGGTATCTACAATATGTACGTATATTTTTCTTACCTTTTATTTTTTATTACAAAATTAAATATCGCACTCCAAACTGATTTAAAGTTGTTAACCAACTATAGTAACGATCTTTCGTAACTGTTATCTCAACTATAACTCGAATCAATTTATTGGTAGCATAAAAACGTTCGTTAGGAGTAAGTATGAGTATTGATACAATGAGGAATTAATAAAACTATTCGTAGATTTATTAACTGCATTTGTTGTTTGTATATAGAAGTTCATTCTTAGCACAAACACCTTAACCATTTTACGAACATTTTCGTTAACTTTCTTAATGCTGTTAATAATTTAGATATTCATAATATCTATAAATGAAGTTCTTTCTCTGCTCAAACTTGAATACTTGTTAGAATAACCGTATTCGTTGTTACAATAAATGAATTAATCACTCATGTTTTGCAGATTCAATACAATTTTTAATTGGGACAATGAACAGTTTAGTTGTATACATGTAATGAATTAATTGTATAATAGCTACGAATGATTAATGTATAAAGAGCAACTGTACGTAACTTGAGCAGCTACGTAGGCAAAACAACTGTAGGGATAGATAGACAGGATAACTGTATGGATAGATATAGAGGGGCAAAGTATTAGTTTGCTTAGATTTGCAGATGATATAGCAGTGTTAGCATCTAGCAAGGAGGAGTTAGAGATAGCTTTAAATAAAATGGAAACGGTATTGACAAAACAATATTATATGAAAATAAGTAAATATAAAACAAAAAATACTGGTATGCAAGAGAAGAAAAAGTAGGGAAAGAACGAATTGAAAGATAAAGATAGAGAGAAGAAAAATTAGAAGAAGAGACTGATTTTCGGTATATAGGAAGTCAGATAACCCAGAATGGGAGGAACAGAAGGGATATAAAAAAGAAGATAGCGCAGGGTCGAGTCGCCTTCAACAAAAAAGTCAATTCTGTACAGGTGCGCAACGTGGACGCAGCAAAAAAGAAAAGGTTAGAAATGTTTGAAATGTGGTGTTGTAGGCGAATGATGAGGATGCCGTGGATAGAGAAGGTCAGCTCCACAATCTAAGCACCTCATGAATGGAATTTAATCAGTTCAATTATATCATCGTATAGGTCAGAAGATGATAATAATTGATTAAAGTTTAATAATCATTAAAGTTTTTTGAGATCATTCAGAAATTTTAGCATCTCTTTTTATATAAAATAATAAATAATTAACCTAACGTTTGATATTTTCGATTTTGGCATCTGGAAAGATTACTAAATCAACTCAATCATGCATTGTCATTCAATAACATGTATAATTGTAAAAAAATGAAAAAGTTAGCTTTATCTGTCTGATAACGATCTACTCATTATGAGACATTTAGAATAAATAATAATTGGTCAGACTTATCCTAATAGAATAAGATGCTAAACTTTTTGAATGACCTCGAAAACTTTAACGATTAATAAAAAACTTTCTATCGCTGACTAATTAATTAAACTAATTGACCACCGTTGACCTTTTTCTGACCTATACGATGCTATAATTGAATTTTTTAAATTCTACCCATGAGGTACTAAGATCGCGGACCTGAGAAAATCAGAAATGAGGAGGTATTAGAAACGGTAGGTCGCTTTGGAAATCAATATGGAATAGGCGATATAAATTTATAGGATACCTTCTCACGTATGAGGGATTAATCAAATACATATTAGAAGCAAAGGCAGGAGTAGTAGAAGTAGACCTAGATTAGTTTACTGTTTACAAATAGTTAAGAATGTGGGATGTTCTAGTTTTAAGGAAATGCGAAGATTAGTTTAGGATAGGAAAGAGTGGAGGTGCGTATCCAACCAGTCTTGGGACTAGTGACCTTATGATGTTGATGACGAATATTCATTCATGTATCCACGTAAACCATTAATGTTCCAAACAAATGGCAAATTGTTGTAAAAATGTACTTAATAATGAAACAACTTAATGGAAATCATTGTAACAATAATCTTATTTATGATCACAACGAATTACTAATCAGTAACCGCTGTTTATGTATATTACGAACGTAATTTTATTCTGTAATTGTAAGGCATTTACCTAAACTTATCCAACCTAATCGGTGACGGAAATGGTGATATGCTGTCCATATTTGAATATTAAATCAACTCGCTCTTTAGGGGCTTCTTCATTTTGGTTAGTAATTTATCGAGACTACTATGGCGCCCTGAAGAAATAAAATAAGTTCGGAATTTGGGAGTTCCGGTAAATTTCTGTCATCATAATGATTGCAATTTGAGCAATTTTCGACCGTTTTGTCCTCGGATATCGAAGAAATTGACAATCATTGACTACATACCTCCAGGTATAACCATAGCGTCAAACAAAATTGCAAAAATAAATAAAATTGTAGATAATTAAAAAGGTTAATAGGTCAACCGAAATGCTCATGAAATGACTTAGTTTCTTCGGACGTCCTATAAACGTCGTTCAAATTATATACTATTTAGCAATATAAAACTAAATTATTATTTATTTCTAAGTTTACATAACCTTTAGTACATATTACTGAAATAATTTCCACATAAAATTACGTTTGAAGCAGAAAAGCAGTGATAACACATCACTTATCCAACGGATAAATGGATAAGCACCGCTACAAGTTCTTAAATTCATTCACTATAAAATAATTTTTTACACAAGGTCGAAATGTTATCTCTGTAAAAATAGATGCTATAAATGAATCTCTGTTTTGAACAAATCTATTTTAATGCGAAAAAAACCAATTTAGTGTGTACAATTTTATATTTTAAAAACGTTTGTTGATCCACCACTTAAATAAAAAAGAAAAGGGGAAACGTTAGTATAGCATTTAAAATATAAAATTTTACACCCTGAATTGAGTTTGGTTCATTACGCTCTGGAATAATAAGTAGAAGAAAGGAATATTATTCTATTTCAATTTCAATTGTTTATAATACGAGCGTTGAACGATGACAAAAACAAAATGCATGACCATGTCAAAGCCCACTTCGTTCATGCTAGTTTTAACTTCTTTAACTAAGCAATCATACAAAAGCATTTTTCGGTTATTGATTTAATACTAAAAATGGAATTAGTAAAAGGTTAAAAAACAAAAAAAACATTACTATAACATATCTCACTCGCATGCATTGAAAACGGTCATCAATCCCTCTGGATCATTGCCGTACTACTTTCCGAATTTAGGCAAAATTTACATACATAATAGAATGAATTCGACCTACTTGCGTAAATGATTAAAATAACGGCGAATTTTCAAAGTAGTGACTTTAAGTCCACTTTTTTCTTATAATAGACAATTCAGCCAGAGGACGCTTAACCATTTTCATAAATTAAAGTAGAAAAATAATTTTCTTACCTGTTGGGCATAGCTAGATATCGCTGTAAGTAACACTAAAAAAGCGTAGAGTTTTATCATCGTGAACATCATCGTGACTTCTTCAACAGCTCTGGCTCTTTTATACCTACTATAGTATGCATATATTCCGCTTATCTTGTTACACGAGTTATTTATCACACAACAGTTTAATTTTCAGTTTTTGCAAATTATTCCGTTTATTATTACTTTTTTATTCCATACATGTAATGTAGACACTACACCTTGGATTATGAAATTATTGAATGTAATTAAAATGGCGCTGATTATTTAATTCTATTAATGACAGTAAACTGAATTTTATCTACTAATTAAATGTTAGCGTAAATAAAAAATGTAGCGGATAAAGTATTACCTGCGTATTTTCAAGAACTAATGATAAATAACATCATTTTCACGAAGAAGATAGAACAAGTAACAATATAGAAAATAATAAGGTTGAGAGTAGGTATGTTAATGGATTCCACATCTCTGCAAAGTGTAATAGTAGAAATATATCCCGAAATAGAAAATAAAACATACATCAGGTATATATTTGGGGAAGAAAAAAATATACATATACACATACATGCAAGGTTTTCCACGTAACCCGTTTATTGATTGTTTTTAAACCACTAGAGATTTGGAAATGAGGCAAATAACCTAAAAACTGACGATCTTTCTAGTTATTGCAATCGTCGGTCACTTCAGGTTTTGACATCAACTAACTTGTTTTAAATATAATGCTATATTTTTTATGACATTTTTAGATTCAGAAAACCTTTTTAGGTCGACTTTAATTGTACAACTCTATCTGAAAAATTAGTAGTTTGAATCTAAAAATGTCAAAAAATATAGCATTCCATTTGAAATAAGCTATTTGATGTCGACGGTATATCCGTAAGTGACCGACGATTTCAAATATTTTAATTAGAAATAGCGTCAGCTTTTAGGTTATTTGCCTCATTTTCAAATCTTTACTTGTACTCCAAGTTCAAAACCTTTTAATGAACAGGTTACGTGAAAACTTTGTGTACACATAATAAGTACATACAGGGTTCGTCAAACTGAGTGTTACATTAGACATTTTAGGGCAACTAAGCGTGTAAGAGATCTGAAAATTTGGCAGTAGAAGTTATCGAGGATAATTTTTTTAACTAAAATAATTTCAACTGTCGGTCGCTTCCGGTTATATCAGAAGTTTATGAAAATTCATAACTTCCATAAAAAATGACCTACAATAATAAAATTTCTACAAATTACGGCTGTGTCTTATAGCTAAAGTTAAAGCATAATTGAGCTTCATCGTTTATACTGGGCGTTCAGAAAAAAATTCAAAATTTAAAAACTTCAAATACGAATTCGTTTTTCCAAATGGCACAATATGTTATTTTTTATATTGCTTTATTTGAAAATTTTTGAATAAATTTGAATTTTTATCTAAAATAGATAATTTCACTAAGAATAGACAACGACATCGACGGATTATATTATTGTAGGTGGTTGAACCGGACAATCCAGACTTGACACAAAAGGCATTATTGGGGCCTAAGCTCATAGAAAGTGAAGCAACCTCAACACCTGCCGATTAGCCAATTTAAAGGACTTCGAGCAAAAAACCTGCAAAGGCACAGTTACAGGTGTTTATAGCAGAAATCCATCACTGTGACTGGGAAGAAGTGCCTGAGACGAAACCGACATTTAACAGAACTCGTGAAACAGTCAATCACCTTAACCATCACTAACTCAAGCAATTACCACAGTATCAATACTGGAACAGCAAGAGCCATCATACAACCATCTAGAGTTCCTTGGGCGAAGCAAGACGAAGTCAAAGACATTACAGGGAACATGTATAAACAACAGTGATTGAACCATCTCAATATTCTTGGTAGTCTTAGAGCTGATGCCGATGAACGATCTGTTGTAACTTACTCACCATTCAGTTGACGGATTCTGGAAAAATAAAGCATCAACCGAAAGCCACAGCAAAGATGAGATGGAAAGGAATTGGAACCTCAAAATCATCGTGGGCAGATGTGAACTACCTAAGTCAAAAAACGAAAAGTTGTTGAGTCCAATAAGCTTCCCTTTTCTTGGATCACGAAACAAATACTAAGTGGTACTTCCGAAGAAAAGAATTTTAGAAGTATTAGAGGAAGGACATTTCAGCCTTAAAAAGACTAAGGAAGGCAGGCGAGCGATTTTATTAACTGAGAAGTAGAAGCGATCTGAAAAACTGGCGCAGGAAATGTCCGACATGCGCCGTCAGTAAGGAACGAACGACAAAAAGTCGTGGATGAATACAGCAGCACACCGTGAGAGCGCCATTTGAGAGAATCGCGGTGAACGTAAGAATACTATTTCTAGCGTCAGACTCATGTAACTCCTAGTCGTCATGGATTACTTTAGCAAGTGAATCAAAGCATATGCCATGCCAATTTAGGAAGCACACACTGTTGCCGATAAGCTTGTCAATGGCTGGATTAAACGATATGGAGCATTCCATTCAGGCCGAGGCAGGAGCATCGAGTCGTTTATTCAATAAGGCTACTAAACTAGTGGGCATTACCAAAACGAGGAGTACGTCGTTGCATCCACAGCCTAATTGGATGGCTGGACGATTTAACGCTACTCTGGAGACTAACTTAAGAAACTCTGTTAATAGCCACCAATCTGATAGGGACCAACGCATACACCTATTCAACAACTGGAGTAACACCGGCCAGCATTTTATTTAGGAAAACATTCAGGCTACCAGCGGCTATGATGTTTAGTTGCCCTGGAGACTCTCCAGTGTCTACAGATGAATACGTGCCCAAATTACTAGAACGACTAGACGTCATCAACAATGGTATGAGAACGAAGCTGTGATTAGAAAGTGACTGCATGAAGACCAGATACGATGAACAAGCCAACTTTGCTGGGTTTAATGAGGACGACAATGTGTGGTTATATAATCCATCAAGACGGAAGGGATATTGCTCGAAACTACAAGCTTGGGATGGTCCATACACCGTTACTCGACACATCAACGACGTTGTCCAACGAATGTAAAAGGGACGTCGGACAGAAATGAAGGTCGTACGTCTTGACCAGCTTGCTCCCTACAGGGGCGATATAACTGATAGGTACAATAATTATAGGAGGGGGGCAGTGTCACGTGTATACTTCTCAGCATACTGTCGCGTGTGGGCAACCCAACACACAATAAAAGGAAGACCAGATTTTCTAGATGTCATGTGCCTGCAAATAGTTACCGCAAATTGAAAACAGTCAGTTTCCAAAACGAAATAAGAAGTGTGTTGTAATAGTGAAATAGAAATTAATTAATAATTAGTCCGTTGTTAGAATGGTGATTACGTAACAATATTGTACTTTTCCCGTGAATAACGGCAAAAATGGGATATACGTACATAGATTACCGTTTTTATATGAATTTCTAAATATTTGCAAAATAACCGGAGGTTATGCATCCCAGGAAAGGTTCAATGGGAAGAGGTTGAGAGCGGGTAGGGGAAAAGGTATAGGAAGGAAACATTGGGCGAAAATGGGAGCCGATGGCCCACCTCGAATGAGTTGGGTGGGCACTCGCGCCAAAAAAGCGAAATTGCGAATGAGCGGAAGGGAAGCAGCTCAGAGTAGAAGGTGGCAGGGCCCTCTGAAACGGTCGTTTGGTTTAGGGACGAAGTCGGATTATCGAGATAGACGGGTTTGGGTGATCTAATACTGAGGCCCGGAGATAAGCCGCGAACCTAACTGCAGCCTCGGGGACTGAACTAAACCACTTTCTTTCAGAATTTAAATAATGAACCAGGGATAGTTGTACGTGGAACGAAAAATCCGCAAGTAAGTGTCTTGAAGAAGAAGATGGGGTGGCGTAGGAGCAAATGCTTCTGATAATTTCATTGGACACACGGATTTTTATTTGATGGGAGATGGAGCTGTTGAAAGAAGGGCTTGAGGGAGATAAAGATGGCTAGAGCCTTGGAACAGGTGGCAAGGATGTGCTTTCGCCATGACAGTGTTCTGTAGAATAACAACGCTACACACGGCGTTTGCAAGCAAATGCAAAATTGCTTTCGACTTGACCTCGTTAATGGAGAGTTTCCATAGCAAAGGCAGAAACTTGTTAATTTTTTCGAGCGATGTCTTCGGCGTAGAGAGCTGTGACGATCGAGGGATGGGACGGCATATCTGCGCAGAAAAGGTTGAATAGATGAGGTGACAGCTTGGAGGCTTGGGGGACACCGGCCGTGACGGATTTGCTTGGGGATAAAATAGAGCCAACGAGGACACGGAGGGTTATGGTTCTGTCAGAGAGGAACGAACGGATAACCCCGATTAGGAAAGTGCGGTTATGTGTTTTGATGGCAGAACTTTTAGGAGATCGTTGGGAATTCCGGCTGCTCCAGGGGCTTTTCCCTTCTTCAGAGATTGGATGGTGAAGAAAATTTCACGGGGGATATGTGTTTAAAGTCGAGAACAGTTGGAACGAAGTTTTGGGAGGCGACGTTGTTTCGCTCGTGAAAGTTGGCAAGGTCACCAGAGCTGCTAAGTGAGGAGTACTGGAGACAGTCTGCGAAGATTGCAGCTTTTTCCTCATCTAAAGTAAATACGGAGCCGTTTCGTATTAGCGGCTGGAGGTTTCGAAGAAAGCGGCAAGATTGTCTTCGGTGAGGTGTTTCTCTGGGGAGGAGAAGGGACGGGAGGTCGTGGAGTGTAGCGGAGACGTAACCAGTCAAGCGAAGTTTTAAGGTTTGGTGGGTTGAGGATTGGGCGACCGACTTCTATTAGGACTGGAAAGTGATCGGAGCTTAAATCGTCGAGAACGGTCGGATCGGTAGAAAGAGTGACATTTTTAAAGGCGAAAATATCAAGAATGTCAGGAAATTGATTATGGGTGGAGGGGAGGTACGTAGGATCTGGGGGCGCTTCAACGGCAAGGTTGAGGTCGAGGCCTTTGGCAACAAGGGAAATGCCTTTTGTTAGTGTGTCGGCAGCCCCAGCAGGCGCGTTTTGCATTGGGGCCGCCTGCGAAGGTCGTCAAGCGGTTAATAGGGAAGAGAAGGGGGAAATCCGAAAGATTTAGATCTGATGGGGGGTGTAAAGGGAAATGATTCTGAAAGGGCCGGGTGT